CTCATTTTACTTTATTTTTTCTGGAATATGAAAGACACTTTAAAAGTATAATTTTTACAACTTAGATCATGTAATTTGGTTAAGTATTAGTTGAGTTATGATAGATTTTGTATTTGAGTGTACTTAGTGTGACGAAAATCACGAATCGCGCGTGTGACAATATTTATGAAAATGACAGTAATAGAGATGTACTTTTTTCGGTTGACTTAACAATGGCAAACATTATACATATATCATGTTCTTGGTTAAATCTCCGGTCTTTGGCTAGTACACCTTTTCTTACGCCACAGGGTTGTGAAACTAAAACGAGTGTTTCCAAAACTCCTAAACGGAACATGCAACAACTGCTCTGATCGGTGTTATCTCGATCCGACTGGAGTTCCAGCGGGTGCAAGAACGTAAACTTGTTTCCGAGTGTACGGTGCACGTTCCTCGGTGACTATATGGGGCGCTCCGGCAGAACATTCACAATGAATATTCGAATCATACCACTTGTACCGTTGACGAAAAATCGATAATTTCACTGGGTCAAGGATGGTCCGCTCAGTAGAATATATATAGCCCACAGTTCTCGACCCAATTCAACGTAAGAGTGTCAAAAATCAGCTTTTGCCTTCCTTAATATTTCTTTTATACACCGAAAGGAAGCACTAAATTCTGCATAGTGGATATGGCACTTACTGGTGAATTGCTTTTAGTTAATTCTATTTCAGCACACTTGTATTGCTCTTCATGAGATAGCTGTTCATCTAATGGCTGGTGCCCTCACTAGAGTCAGGGATTCAGTATCTGGCCCTGATGGCCGACCCAAAGGAAAGGGTTGAGTTGACCGAAGTCTAATTCTGAGATGCATACAAATGCAACTTGCTGACACTTCAGCCAGAAACTGTAGCAATAGCTTTGACACCAGTAAGCCATGTACTCGCCTTAGAAGCTCTTTACTAAATGTCTGAGTGATTAGTGAAAGAGAGAGAAGAAAGAAGCAAATAGAAAAAGCAGAAGACTAGAGCACTTGGAGGACTGCAGAATTCTTCAGTGACAATATTGCGCTGTCTAACCAGTAGACAGACTGTAGATGAAGATCGAATATTCCAAGCGCAGTCAGTCTGCGTATGAGTTGCAATATCAAATCTCCATGGCACTACGTATCAGTTTAGGCAAAGCTGACACTTTCCTATCCGTTCTGGAATGCCATAAAGCGCCAAGGTTGTTGTTTCTGAGCTCGAGTTGATAGACTGCCGAGTCGCCTAATGAGAGACTAAGTAGTCACTAGATCACAGCAAGTATAAGCATTACTAGTAGCCTCCATTTATTTAAGACAGCAAAAAGCTAGTACTCTCAGAGCGATGTCAATGCATATCGCAGGGAATCGATGCATAGAGCTTTCCAAGACGCTTACTGTAAAGATAGGTCACAGAAGTGCACTATTTTGTAGGTCCCGAAATCAGATGTCAAATTCGCAATTGCCATACGTGGGAGTGGGAAAATACATGAAGCCCGCGGGGAACAGCCGTCAGTGTGCCGCCACATCGATGACTTTCGTTCGTTCCAAAACCATGTCGAAATCATGTCGGTCAAAACCATTGTGTTCTGTTTCCGCTATTTTTGTTTTAAGAGCCCGGCCTATAAGCCCGATTTGTCTCTTCGGGATCTTTTCAATAAAGGATAGATGACATTTTAGACCCAAACGGAGCCCGTTCTGGGTCAGATAAATGTTGATGCCGCTTACCAGTATTCGTCTAGGGCCACTATCAGGTGTCTATCATGATCATTTCATTTCAATGATCGACTGATGCTGGCCTAGTTTCGGAGCAACGAAAGTTTACCCATTTCTGGTCCTCCTTCCTGTGCATCGTCCGCAAGCTCTCTCCAGTACGACAGCCGCCTCCACTTGTCTTTCTGCGTTCTCATGTTCCGCTAAATCTCGAGCATAATGCTATCCGCTCTCCTTGCCTTTCTTTTCCTCACTACGAGCTGTGTCGCTCAGCTTCCGCCATTGACTGCTTGGTCGGCTACGCCTTTCAACCCTACGTCATTGCCTCTCGCGGTCAAGTCATCATATCTCAACATATGGGCGCCATTAGGGTACGGAAATGGCTCTGCAGCTCTGAGCGATGCATGGCCGAGAAATTGGGACAGAAGCCTTACCGTGCGTTCAACCAGGTTTTATCCTTCCGTTTCTAACATGTAACTCTCCCTAGCCTTTGGGATGGTACGGGTCAATTCGTGTGGACGGGACCGCATATCGGTTTCTCGGTGAATCAAACAAACCAGCTGCCAATATCAACACTCTTCAGAAAGGTTTTTCTTTCACTCCAACGCGATCATCGTATCTTTATCAAACTGGTCCGGTCAACGTGAATATAACTTTCCTGAGCCCGGTTGAGGTATGTCGTGGCATTTTTTGTCCATAGCTATCACAGTCCTTATTCATCGTCTCCGAAGCCCACCGACCTGGTTCGACAATCGATGCCATTTTCGTACATGTCCATCACCGTCCAGCCAAACGATGGAGGTTCTCACAGTGTCCAACTTTACTCGGACGTATCGGGAGGTGAACACGCTGGTCACTGCAAGCGACATTCTGGCTAAAATTTCGACGTTGCAGAATTTATTGGTGGTAATTTTAGAGTGCCAGTGAACTGGACGATCAATGAATCGAGCGATTTCGTGTACTTACAAATGAGCCCCTCTTCGCCCTTGCCATACCAAGAACTCAATAAGCGGCCGCAAGACGGGACGTTGTATTATTGCATGAAGAAGGTACATCGGCTTGGTTCAAGATAATTGTGGTAAACGATGCGGTTCATCTACTTCTTTTACAGGCAAATGGCGTATCTTGGCAAATTGCAAATGCCACAGTGATGCGCGAACAGTTTAATAACGGATCTATTACCAGTCTTTCAAAGACATCTGATGGCACTTTTCACGCTGTTGGCCAGTAAGCTGCACTCCACACTATTGTATTACCCTGTCCCACAGTGAACGTAATTTAGACCATATTTTGACACCCTAGCCATTGCAGTCGACCTCGGAACTGTTTCCTCTGTGACCGACCCAGTGGTGTACGCTTTGGGTGTAGTACGTGATCCAGTCGTGCAGTACGCCAACCGATATGTGCAGATTGAGAAGCGAAGTTCGTATTACTGGTCAAACTTCTCCAATATCCATGACGTTGTTAGTGTGACATTCACCTGGCTCCCGAATTTTCCTCTGACGCCAATTATGCAGATCAATGACGTCTTAAACCATTTTGATGATGCTGTGACTGCCGCGACAAACCTGGATAACCAAATTCTCAGCGCCGCAGGGCAGGTCTCAACCAGTTATGCTGACATCCTAAGCCTCTCCACCCGGCAAGTCATGGGCGGACTTGAATATACACTTCTCAAAGATGACTCTGGCAATTTCAATGCGTCGGATGTGAAGGCGTTTATCGATGATATGGGTGGTATAGGCTCCGGCGGGTGAGTTAAACGGTTCTACGTTTGCAGCCGAGACATGCGAGTAATGCATTGAAACTTTCAGAGTAAGCGCCGTCGATGTGTTGTATGCCGCGATGCCTGCGTATTTATATCTTAATCCTGATATTCTCACTTACCTCTTGAGTCCGCTAATGGAATACCAAGAGAGTACACAATACACGAATCCATACGCCGCGCAGGACCTGGGTATGCCATCTGTACTTTGACCTCGTGCTTTGTCTTGATAAATTTGTTTCTTCAGGCATTGCATTTCCGAATGCCACGGGAAATGCCAACGGGCACAACCAAAAAATTGAACGTATGTATCCATGAGTAACGTTCAAGACCACTTACTCCAGTACGTCTGACTTAATAAACGTAGATTCCGCGGATATGATTATCATGAGCTTGGCGCATGCTCAGGCTTCCGGTGACGGCCGTCTCATTAGCCAACACGTACGTGCTCCATTTCACACGCTGTGCCTTTCTCTTATTTTCTTTTGGATTCAAAATAGTATGATCTCCTTAACAAATGGGCTAACTACTTGGTTAATAATACTATGACTCCTGGAGATCAGTACGTCTTTACTTCGACTTCTTAAGATACCCCTTTTTGAACCAACTGGTGTGCAGGACAGCGTCACTCTCAGATTCTATAGACGCAAACAATCAGACAAATGTTGTGCTGAAAGGCATCATTGGCATTGGCGCTATGGCTAAGATAAGCGGCTATACGGGACATACGGCCGACCAAACCAAATTTAATGTGTGTGCATTTTGTGAGGTGAATTAAGCACGTTTCTGATTATCGTCCTTCCCTTCGTAGACCATTGCACAGCAATATACACAGCAGTGGACGAGCATTGCAGCTGGCAGTGGTTCTTCTCAGATTTCGATAAGCTTCGGCTCGTTGAACTCAGGATTGATCTATAACTTGTATGCGGAGAAACTGCTGCAACTCAACCTTATTCCGAGCTCGGTGAGACCCTCTGAAGTTTCGTTGTACAACTAATTTTCTGATATCCTTTAAGGTGTATGATACTCAAACACAGTTCTACAAGTCACAGCTTTGTACGAGTTCCTTATTGATTTGTCTCCCGTCCCTGACATCTGTTCGTCACCAGCACTGTGGAAATATGGCATTCCCTTGGATACCTCAAACACTTCATCAGTTACACGTTCTGGTGAGACCTTGAGTAGCTGATCGACTTAAATATGGCTGATCAGGCATTAGACTGGATGATGTTTGCTGCGGCTAGCGCAACTGATATATCCGTACGAGATGCCATGCACTCGCAAATCCACGACTATATATCGGCATTTTTACCACAAAACCTTCCGTTTCCAATCCTATATGATCCACGTGCTGGAACGCAGATAGGAGGAGAGAACAGGTAAAGATACGTTCTTCCTTATTGATGGTCGGAGCACTAAGCATTTGTCACAAAGCCCGGCAATAGGAGCCACGTTTGCGAATTTAGCATTGAAGTGAGTTCCGCAATTGGTTCCAGAATATTTCGAGACTCATATACCATTTCAGTCTGCCGATTAAGTCAATCTCAGTGACAGGTCCACCTGTAGGTGGAAATAATGCAAAAAACACAGCAGCTGTCGTCGGCGGTGCTGTTGGGGCCACCCTGGGTGTGTTAATCATCGTTGGCGCAGGCATATTCTTCTATCGCCGTCGTCGAAGCAATCAAGAGTTGGCCAGCAAGTACAACCGCGTCGATTGCACTCGATCCGGGAATTACCCACCCAGCTCCCTGCTCGCGCTCAATCCGCCGGATTCGGCTGCACGGTCGGACATGACAGAACTGACCGTTACCCCGTATACAAACCAGTCTGTCGATGATGGTGGCTCCTTCATTAATATCACTGGGTCGACCGTTGCTCCTCCAACGCCCTCTGGCACGCTGACGGTGTCTGCAAAAGACTGGGAAAGTAGAAACGCGGTGTGTGGGAAATATTCCAAAGCGCCGCCAAGCTCGACAGGCTCGAATACGTTGGGGCCTAACCCGCTACCAGACCCTCCTCGCATGAACCCACGACGGGGTAATTGGAGAGCTGAAGTGGAAGCTCTGCGGCGGGAAATCGAGCAGATTAAGCGGGAGCGAGACAGGTTAGTAGCACCACCGCCGGCGTACGAGAACGAACTTCGAAGGCTGCAGGCTATGGGTTCGCGATAACGCATCGTCTATTTGTTCCATTTCTTCTTCTTCCCTTCCAGTATGCTTTCTATGGCCCGGCATTGACTTGCCTAATGCGCCTGAGAGAAAGCAAATTACCAGCTCTCTCAGTAGAGTATATTGTTTTTACAGTGTGGGGATCAACGCATCGAGCCTTCCGAGACAGGATTGACCTAATTCTGTTTCTAATTTGCACTACTCTGTTTACATCTTACTGCCGGGAATCAAAGCACTGGCACTGCTGCCGGTGGGCTGTGCACTCGCCTCTGAGTCTCGTCTGTAAGGGCCTGACCAATCGGAGGAGAGGGAGGGGGAAGAGGAAGATACAAGTACGGGAGCCTCGTAAGACTAGATAAAACGTAGTCTTCCTTAATGACAGATTCGTGGTCTCCCATCTGTAGGCAAACTTGAGCACCATTATCCATCGATGAAGACCGGATGAAATAGGAGCAGGTAAAGAACAAAGTCGGATCTCCATGGCATTAAGCATCACTTCAGATGAAGTTGGCCCTCTTCCATCTGTTGTGGAACACGGGAAGGCGCCAGGCGCGTTTATTTTTGAATTGGCTTGATAGATTGCTGAGTGGCCTAGTACCCTCGTCAAGATTGAAGCGGATAGCCACACGGGATTTGGAAGCATCTTGCCTCCAATGTTTGTGAAGACTAATGGAGCATGTGTTCAATGCTCAATGTTTTGCCCACCACCTGAGAAAGGGATCGGACGTTTTGAAATTTTGAAATTTATTTCTATATATGGAAAGAAGGTGCTTTGTGCCTCGTGTTCAACAACGGGCGCTTGTCAGTTGAGTGGGTTGCACTTGCACCGTATTCCCTTTTGGCATAGTTTCTATGACTCTTCATCGGCTTGTCTAATTCATTCAAGACATAGCGAATGCTGGTGCTCTCAATAGAGAGCCTAGCCACTTCTGTCTTTACATCATGGATAATTGATGCATCGACCTTTCCAAGGTGCTTTATAATGAGTCTCAGCGACTTTTCTAGCTGTATTATGTTCATGCTTGAAGGTACCATATTTGCATTTCAAATTCGTTTCCCTTTGCAATTGCATGTGTAATACGGAAAGCACGTGTGGAACACCAGATAGCCATCGGTGTGCCACATCTACGTTCCAGTCCCGAAACCATGTCGGGCAAAAGCACTTTTATGTGTTTTTTTGCTTCCACAAATTTGTGTATGCGCCCCAGTGTATGAACCCAATTTGCTGCAAAGAGCCTTTCACTGACACAGATGACGTTGTTAGACTAGTACTCGTACTAGGCTCAGATGTGAGGATCTTCGGCGCTGATGTCGCTTATCAGCCGAAGGCCAACAACGCTAACTCAGTAACTGGACACCGCCCATCACAATAATGCCATGATCGGCTACGAACACAGTTCTCTGGAATCTTGGAGCAACGAGGCTGCTAACACGCCTCTCATTCTCCTTCCCGTCCTTCATTCGCGACTTTTCACTACGACTAGTCTATAGCCGCCCCACCTTTCTTTCTGCGTTTTTATGTTCCATAAACCTCACGCATAATGCTGTTTGCGCTCCTTGCCCTTCTTCTCCTCACTACGAGCTGTGTCGCTCAGCTTCCGCCATTGACTGCTTGGTCGGCTACACCATTCAATCCTCCGTCATTACCTCTCGCCGTTAAATCATCCTATCTCAACGTATGGGCACCATTAGGATATGGAAATGCCTCTGCACCACTCAACAACGCGTGGCCAAGGACTTGGGACAGAAGTCTTACTGTACGCTCAATTGAATTTCCTCTTTTCCACCCTAACATATCATTCCCTTAGCCTTTGGGATGGTACGGGGCGATTCGAGTCGATGGGACAGCATATCGGTTTCTCGGTGAAGGCGATTTACCAGCCGGTAATCTTCAAAAAGGATTCACGTTCACTCCAACGCAATCATCGTATCTTTATCAATTTGGCCCGGTCAATGTAAATATAACTTTCCTGAGCCCGATTGAGGTCTGTGCAGAACTTTTTCTTCACAATTTCTATAGCTCATGTCTATGGTTACCGTAGCCCACCGATCTTACTCGGCAATCGATGCCATTTTCGTATATGTACCTTACTGTCCAGCCAAATGATGGAGGTTCTCACAGTGTCCAACTTTTCTCGGACGTATCGGGAGGTGAACACGCTGTTCACTGCAAGCGACATTCTGACTAAAATTTCGACTTTGTAGAATTTATTGGTGGTGATTTTGGAGTCCCAGTGAACTGGACGATCAATGAATCGAGCGATTTCGTATATTTACAAATGAACCCCTCTTCGCCCTTGCCATTTCAAGAACTCAATGAGCGACCGCAAGATGGGACGTTGTATTATTGCATGAAGAAGGTACATCAACCTGCTTTATGATGATTTACAGTAAAATACGCAGACCTATTAACGACTTTCTTTACAGACAGACGGTGTATCGTGGCAAATTGCGAATAACACAGAAATGCACATACAGTTTAATAATGGATCTATCACAACTCTTCCAAAGACATCTGACGGCTCTTTTCATGCTGTCGGCCTGTAAGCTACACTTCATGCCTTTCCGTTACCTCGTCCCATTGTGAATGCAATCTAGACCATATTTTGACACCCTAGCCATTGCAGTCGACCTCGGAACTGTTTCCTCTGTGACCGACCCAGTGGTGTATGCTTTGGGTGTCGTGCGCGATCCAGTCGTGCAATACGCCAACAGAAATGTGCAGATCGAGAAGCGAAGCTCCTATTACTGGTCGAACTTCTCCACTATTCATGACGTTGTTAGTGTTATCTCTACCTAATTCCGACATTTTCATTTAACGCCTGGCTATGCAGGTCAATGACGTTCTAAGCCGTTTTGATGATGCTGTGACTGCCGCGACAGCCCTGGATAAACAAATTCTCGGTGCTGCAGGGCAAGTCTCTACCAATTATGCGGACATTCTAAGTCTTTCGACGCGGCAAGTTATGGGCGGACTTGAATATACACTTCTCAAAGATGACTCTGGCAATTTCAATATGTCGGATGTTAAGGCGTTTTTGAACGATATGGGTGGTATAGGCACCGGCGGGTGAGTTATATTGTTCTACTCCGAAACCAGACATGTGAATGATGTGGAGAAACTATCAGAGTAAGCGCTGTTGATGTGCTGTATGCCGCGATGCCTGCATATCTATATCTTAACCCTGATATTCTTGGCTACCTCTTGAGCCCACTCTTGGAATATCAAGAGAGTACACAGTACACAAACCCGTATGCTGCACAGGACCTAGGTACGCACCCGGACTTCGCCTTCGTGCTTTGTCATCTTGACGAATATTTTGTTTGCTTTACAGGGCCTGCATTTCCGAATGCCACAGGGAATGCCAATGGGCATAACCAAAAAATCGAACGTACGCAGCCATGAGCAACGTTCAAGATCGTTATTCACAATGTAACTAACCCTTCAACTGGCAGAATCTGCGAATATGATCATAATGTGTTTGGCGCATGCTCAGGCTTCTGGTGATAGTCGTCTCATTAACCAGCATGTAAGTATCCCATTTAAATCGCCGCATCTGGGATCTGATTTCAAACTCAATGTAGTACGACCTCCTGAACAAATGGGCAAACTACCTGGTTAATAATACCATGGATCCTGGGGACCAGTATGTCTTTACTTCGAGTTCTTGAAATGCCGTTTTTGAACCAAATGGTGTGCAGGACGGCGTCGCTCTCGGATGGCATAATTGTAAACAATCAGACGAACGTTGTGTTGAAAGGCATCATTGGTATTGGCGCTATGTCCAAAATAAGCGGCTATACAGGACATACAGCCGACGAAACCAATTTCGTTGTGCGGGTATTTCGCGATGCAGACTAAGTGTGTTCTGACTATTTTTCCTTTATAGACCATTGCACAGCAATATGCACAGCAGTGGACGAGCATTGCAGTCGATTCATCCCAGATTTCGATAAGCTTCGGCTTGATGAACTCAGGATTGATCTATAACTTGTATGCGGACAAACTGCTGCAACTCAACCTTATTCCGAGCTCGGTGAGACAGACCCTCTGAAGTTTCGTTCTCTGGCAAATTTCCTGATGTTCTTTAAGGTGTACGACACACAAACACAGTTTTACAAGTCACAACTTTGTACGAGTTTCTAATTAACTCGTCTCCCGCCCCTGACATCTTTTCTTTATCAGCACAGTGGAATTATGGCATTCCAATGGATCTCTCAAATACTTCATCAGTCGCGCGTGCTGGTGAGATCTTGATAAGTTGATCCATTTGACCATGGCTGATCAGGCATTAGACTGGATGATGTTTGCTGCTGCTAGCACCTCTGATATATCCATACGAGATGCGATGCACTTGCAAATCCATGAGTATATATCGGCATTTTTGCCCCAAAACCTTCCATTTCCAATCCTGTATAATCCACGTGATGGAACGCAGATTGGAGGAGAGAACAGGTAAAGATACAGTTTTTTTGGTTGATTAATCACGTGCTCAACAATTGTCGCGTAGCCCAGCAATAGGAGCAACTTTTGCAAACTTAGCATTGAAGTGAGTTCTGTGCTTGGTTTGCGAGTACTTCGAGACTTACATATACTATTTTAGCCTACCTATTAAGTCAATCTCGGTGACAGGTCTAGCCGGAGGCGGCAACAGTACAAAAAATACGGCGGCTATCGTCGGAGGTGCTGTCGGCGGAGTTGTAGGCCTGTTAGGGATTATTGGCGCAAGCATATTCTTCTATCGTCGTCGTCGTCGAAGCCACCAAGAGTCGGTCAGCCAGTATAACCGCGTGGATCGCATTGATCGATTCCCATCTGGGAACTTCCCGTCCAGTTCCATGCTTGTGCTCGATCCGCAAGATTCGTCGGCACCCTCGCAAATGACGGAACTGACCACTACCCCGTATACGCATCGGTATACTGATGACAGTGGTTCCTTCCTTAACGTAACTGGCTCGATGAACGTTGCTCCAACGTCTTCCGGCACTCGGACCATATCTGCAAAAGAATGGGAAAGTAGAGGTGCAGTGTGTGGGACAAATGTTAGCGTGTCCGAAGCGCCGCCAAGCACGGCAGGCTCGAGCACGTTGTCATCTAGTGCGCTGCCAAACCCGCATAGTAACCACCCACGACAGGGTGATTGGAGGGCTGAAGTGGAAGTTCTACGGCAGGAGATCGAGCAGATTAGGCAAGAGAGAGAAGGTCTGGCGGCACCACCGCCGGCGTACGAGGACGAACTGCAAAGGCTTCAAGCTTTGGGTTCGCGATAATACATCGTTCCCCGCCCTATTTATTTTTCTCGTGTATGCATTTGTTTTCGTAGATATCGCGTTTTTTTCTTGTGATACCATTTTCCTTTCGGGATCTGCATGGACATTGTACGACGCTGACAGTTCTATTTAATAGCAAGATGACTGTCGTTCGTTTTACAGTGGAAATCCACGCAATAACAAAGAAAAAAAACCGATGTAAGATTATGTGCGATCTGAATTTGAAACACCAGACTAATATATGTACACTCGACTTCACGAAAGACAAAGTAAATCAGGTGAAGGGTGGCGATTTTAGTTCATCGGTACCAATTATCAATTGCAACCAATCTAAGCCCCTTCTCTATACTCTTTTGTACGATCTCATCCTGCTCCATAAACCACGTATCCTGCTGTCTCATTCTCACCTCCCTCAACCGCTTCCTCCCTTCTGAAGGTACGTTGCGATCACGCGAGGCGATCATGTCCGCAAACTCAACGAAGAAGAACCGCATATCGTTATTACAGAACTGGAGCGTCTCGAGCTTTGGGCAGATGTTCCTCCGAGGCTGTTCTTCATCTTGGTTCTGATTTTGACTATGACTTCGGGGTTGGGTGTAGAAGAGTGCGGGGTTGATGGTAAGTGCGCGGATTAGGTTTCTTGGATCGCCTGTTGTTTCAATCGTAAGGTGGACCAAGTCAGGACTGAGACGTAGACAGCGGAGGATTTCATCATGGGGATGTGCGTAGGTCTTTATCCTAAACGTCTTAAGCGACGCTTTCGATCGCGTAAGTAAAGCAGGTAAACCAAGTTGATATCCTCCACCGCGAAGATCAATCCTCAGACTCCGTAACGAAGGAAGAACAAATAAATCCAAAAGGGACTTGGCAGCTGCACAGTCTCCTTCTGGGAATGACAATGCGAGTTTACGAAGGGCTTCCAGGTTGATTTGTTTGATTGCCTTAGCCTCGTCCTTTCGGACTCCACCACATACGACTGCGGAGAGTTCTTTGAGGTTGGGAGCTTTGCGGATGACCATCAAGATATCGTCTACGCGTAATGGTGCTGCTCGGAGATACCGACATCCATAATCCAGATGTAACCTTTCCAAATTCGTAAGCATCCCTTTTCCTGTGGTGAGCGTGAATGCGCACGAGAGTTCAAGAGATCGTAGCCGCGGTGACCGAGAAACGTTGATGATTACGGCCGTCGTCTCCACTGGTAAATGAACATGCAAACTCTCGAGCACAGGCATATGCGACATCTCCATTTCCAGAACGTTCTCCGGGTCGTTGAAGTCATAATCTATTCGAATATGTCTCCATCTTCTCTGTTGATCCAGAACCTTTCTGAACATCTCTTTGTAGAGTTCGCTATCCTCCTTCTCGTACTTGATCATCTTCTCGCATTTCTTGGCCTTCATCCATTCTCGATACTGGTTCCCCAAGGTAAGCGAAAGCGACCTATTCCGCGATCTCTCAAGCCACAATCCAAGCGTCCCATAAGCATACTCGTCCCAAACCCGTCGGATACATCCATCCTGCGAATACTTAAACCGCGACCAAAGTTTCGGCAGCGAAAGCGCCAATCTCCTCCAAGACCTACACACACTCGCAACGTTCAGCGGTAACGCACGCATCGAGGGCGGTTCAGGAAACGTTTCCGACGGAAGACAGAAATAGAATATTTCCATGAGAATTTCAGGAGGGAGGTGCTGTATGCCCGTATATTCTCTAGAAGGCCAATATACGAGCTGTAGTGCAAAGATGCTATCCGAGACGACATTTGAGATTCTCTTGCAAATGGTTTGAGCGATTTGAGTGAAGTTGGACTGAGTAGGGGGCATGGTGGTTGAGAGAAAGTGGCTGAAGTAAGTGGCTCAACGAAGGGGGCTTTGCTGCGCTTTATAAAAATATCCTGGCTCTTCCAAGTAATATTAAATCGTGACTCGGTAAAAGTGTCAAAGCACGAAGACGCTTAGACGATTAGATGAATCTATCATTCACTGGGCCTGAGCCACAGAGTGAAGTTTAGGTCAAAGCGTCCAATAACCTATTTTAGAAAGGCTGTTTCGTTCAGGGTTTGCCTAAGCGCCGTTGACCTTGATAATGGAATGCAATACGTCACAAATTTCTGTAACGGTGTAAAATATAGCTTCACTCACCCTTACTAGCTTGGCTAAGGTGAAGATGGGTGAATGTATCCAAGGCGTTTGAGGAACTTTTAATGAGAATGTCCAGAACCAAATACGGGAAAACAAAGGTACACAAGAATTACCTTATCTGGCATCCACGATGTATTCACCGCGTTGCTAAAACAACACTCGTCAGTGAAATAGAAAGAATGCCTATCTCGAAAGTAAAGGCCAGTTAGTGACGATCATTGGAAGCTTAAGTTAATTTGATGTGGAAAATGTTACCGTTGTCGTCTTCAAGATAAAAAGTCGAATGCACGTGTCAACCACTAGCATTTGCCTGACTATATGCTGTTGTTACAAGTGTCGTGATCTGTATCCACTAAGAAAGAAAAGTATTATTATTATATCATCGCCTTCGTCCGCCACTACCACCAATCACAACCATCTTGTTAGACTTCTTCCTCCGCCCACCGCCTCCGTGCTGCATCTCATGCCAAGCCGCATCAATATCCCACTCATCTTCTTCTGAAGGTTCTCGCGGAGCCTGCGTTTGCTGGGTCCTCTGAGTACGTCCACCCTGGGCAGCGGATGCGAAGCTTCGTTGTCCCCAAGCACCTGACTGCGTCGATTCCGACGATGTGGGTGGTGGTGACACCTCTACCACAATCTCCTCTGGCGAAGGAGGGCGCTCAAGTGGAGTCGATACAACCGGATCATAATCGACACCAGCACTTGGAGGAAGGCTTGGAGGAGTACCTGCCACGGGAAGCCTGAACTTCTCACGTTCTCTCTCCTCTGCACGTGCACGAGCTCGATCCTCTTTTTTGCCTCGTTCGCGACGTTTCGCTTTACGTGCTCGAAGTGGTGCCTCGAATCCACGAAGCGTCTCTTCACTCACAACCGACGATAGATCTGCTTCGATGAAGACGACATCTGCACTCTCAGGCATATGGGCAAGATACTTGCATCGTCGACGCAAATCAGCATCAACAGAGCCCTCAGATGACGCATCGACGCGTACCGAGATGCTGTCAGGAAACGCGGAATAACTTTGGAAGTGAGCGAGAAGAATCCTGATATCGAGTGGGTGCAGAAAGATAGGAGCACCAGAAGCAGCCTGATAGAAGTAATACGTTGACGTCGAGGGAGGAGGAGGATTCAAATTTCGCCGAGGTCGCTGCCCGCGATTCGTAGATGTGGGCTTAGGTGTATTACTTTGAACAGCTAGCCATGCATCCGGAACTGAACCTATGTCCTGATTGTTTGGATCGCGCTCCCTCTCAGCACGTCGTCTTCTCCGATCCTCGTAACTTCGTTCAATATCGCGCAAAGTTTGCTCTGCTCGCGATATTGCATCCTTCAACTCTTGAGTTTCAAGCGCAGATGCCTTCTCCATCTGTTGCTTGACCTTCGACTCAGCCAAGTCTATGAAGCTCACACCCAAATCATCCTTCATTCCCGCGAGAATGCGTCGTTCGGACGCAAGTTCATCCAGATCATGTGAAAGGTGCGAGAGAAGATAGTCAGGTGTCGCCAGCATAAATCGTGAGAATCTAAAAACGTCCGGAAGGAAATGGAAGGGTGCCTGGTGCGAAGGGATGACATCAGACGGCCACGTTCGTGATCTTGGTAAAGCTAACGTTGTTATCTGAGGTCTCTCCATCAAGCGCATGCGTAGCGTGGAACCTGGTTTGAACGAATCGCCAGAAACATCTAGTTGAGAAGATGAAGACGATGCTTCGTGGGACGTCTCCTGTACATCGATCTGGGTACTTGACTCATCATACCATTTCACGCACTTGAGCTGCTTCTCATTAATCGAATCGAAGCATATAGGACAGCGGTTCCACTTTGCATGATCAGATGTGCTGAGATAATGAAGGACGCATGGGTAACAGAAGACCTGCAAAGTATGTCAGACTGGCAGACAACAGAATGAATAGCGAAGAACGAACGTGTCCGCATTTAGTCATCCTGGGAGCAGCAGGCGGAGACAAGCAGATAGGGCACGTAGTATGGCCTTCATCCTGGCCGAAACCCTCTTCTTGACGGCCAGCCGCCGATGCCAAAGCCGAGGTGCGCGGTATGATAACCTGGAGAATGTCCTGCCACTGGAAGAAGCTATATCCCGCATTAATCGAGTAAAATCATATAAAAAATAGATACTTACATATCTGGGTCTGCGAAGTGGACAGTGTAGTCGCCAGAGGGCTTCATGACGAACCGGTACTGAGCATTGACGAACTCTGGGTCCAAAGTCAGCAATCACGTCGCGCCAGATAGTCCTTATCGTACTCACTCTCTTTATTCCAGACACCATAGCCCGGCGCAGTCTTCCTGCTCCGCCTCGGTAAGCTCTGAAAGGCATGGCTCTGCCTTGGTGGCAAAGAGAAGTTAAGCAGATGGTTGAGAGACTGTCCACCCGTCATCTTGTTCGATCTCTTCTGGGCCCCTTTCGCACCCGTGGCAACAGGAGGCTTGTCCTGCCCCTGCTCGTTGTTTCCAGGTCTTCTACGCACCTCTGCAAGGCGCGCGTTTGTTGTCATTGCTGAGAATGAGTGTGTAAGCCGCCGCCGTCGTGAAGACGGAGACGGGGGATAGCGGTGTGGGTCCGGCTACCGATGACTCAATTACCAGACGCAATTCCAATTCGGGCCTTATCAATACACGATCTCGTGATTTGCGAGCAAACATGTCCCCCGTCCGAGTTCCGAAACTACTTTGTACATTTCGACAGGATTAAAAATGCCCAGTGACGTATACAAGAAAAGATCTTAGCAATACATGAGCCATAAAGGAAAAAGCAAACAGTCCGGATTGCTGCGGGGACAACGTCGGTGTGCAAACGGAAAGAGAGACCAATCTCGTCTACTATCCGTCATCGTGACTCGGCTTCGTCGCCATTAGTCCAAGGACGAAACCCTATCTGTGTCCGCAAAGGGTCGAGGTCTTCATCCCTAGGCTCGCGGAATAATATTTCGGAGCTGCGCAGTTGCGACTTCCTCGGTGCACCCTCAAACAAGGCCGGGCAGTCAGAGACAGCATGGCCGACTGCGTCGCAAGAGCTGAAAACGATTGGGTAGAATCATGGTACCTGTGGGTTGATGCAAATGATATGAACTAGCGAACAGTGAGGGATGGTGACGATGACCTAACTCACAGTCTGTGGGGAGATGTATTTTAACATTGGATTGTGCTTAACAACAAAACGTGACGTTTACCTGAATGCTTCTCTGTTCACGACATCACTCTCCCGAATTTTGTCGAGGGTTTCTTTCTTGAAGATAACTTTGATCCAGTGTAGCATCTGGAACACATGATCTTGTTTTGGTCTGAGGACATGAACAGTCAGACATAGTAGTAGTTTGCGCCAGATTGTAACTTATGGATAGATACGTACTTCCAAGGAGAAAACCGTGGCCCAATGTTGAGAGTACCATCTTCCTGTGAGATCAACGGGTGGAACACGTCGGTAACAAATGTGACTGCTGGCGGTCGAGCGGGATACGTAAACGGAAATCGGATGCGAAACTTCAATATTGAGTCCGCATAGTATCCTAGCAGTTCACAAGGTATTCCCTGTCAATACAGTTTCCTGCAGCATATAAGGTAGAGAGAAGTAGTATACCTTGATGAACGAACAAGACTCCATCCCACGCCAGAATGGATTCAGAAGATGGGATAATATACATCCCCTTCGGACAGTGATCACTAAACTTCAACGCCGAATATTCCATTGCTACTTCTGACATAGCCAATGACCTTTCTGCATCCATGGCGATTCCCTGGAAGTGGAACTGACTGTGGCTAGACGTGTCTTCACCGTTTGGTCACAGAGTTGGGTCGAGTATTACTAAGAGCTTGAGAAACTCGGAAAGATAGCTTTCTTTGGATGTAAGGAGAGAGCCAAAAGCAAAGTACGGGAAGAACTACAAGATGACGAGAGAGGAGAGACGTCTGTGTACAATTCACAACGGTTGGCTCATGTAGACATTTGCGCTCACGTGATTTCTAATTGCCCCCAGCTGCAACGACACACAAACATACGAATTCCAGATACATAAAACATGCTTACAATATCGGTACATACTAGAACTGACAAGTGCTTTGTAGTTGAGTATGGTACAAGTTCCAATTCCAGTCGTTATTCCAAGATTGTGCTGAATTCTAATAACGACCAAGCTTGGACGTTTTGTCCATCTTGACTCCATGAAGACCACTGTATAGCCTGGAACACGCTAACATTGAGCGGATATGGAAGTTATCGTAATCATAGCCAACGATGTACTCCATTATTCCGTTCCAAAGTTAGATATCCACACAACAAACAAGGTCAAACAAAGCCAGAAGGAAACGGTGTCCAATATACCGAAAGACGTTCAACGACGAGAACTCTCGGGAGCAGACAGAAGGCTTGCAACGGTTCCGCTATTCTCCTGGATCTGCTTCTGGCGTGCGTAAAGAACATTAACAGCCTTTGACGTCTCCTCTAGTAAGGTCGCTTCGCTTGGTATCGTTGGAGCAGATCCGTCTCCAGGAAATGTGATAATAGGGAGCGCACCAACTCCAGATGAGGCGAGGTGAACAGTGAGCCCTTCGATGTATTGACGGAGCATCTCCAGATTCTCTAGATGAAATGCATTAATTGTACAAGAAGTGGTGGTGTATACTGTATGCACTTACTCGACACCTCAAGATGGTTTGATTCCGGGGATGCGTGGAATACTTGTTCTCTACGTACAAATATAATCAAGACACACGTTCTGAGAAAAGGCAGTGGAACACAACATACATTCCGTCTATTGTGCTCTGCGCAAGCCTGGAGATGAGGTCTACGTAGCCTATCGCCATCTTGATGTTGTCATTGAACTTTTCTGGCGAATACGGGTCGATGGTCATTTGTGAGGGACCAGCCAATGAGACGCCCGACGAGGACGGGAATGACATTGACCCATGGCTGCTGCTTGTGTATAGGTTGGTGCTTGATGAAGCAGGAAAGCCAAATAGATTTTGCGAACTTGACGAGGAAATCATGGTGGAAGACTTGAACAAACTGGGGGCGAATGTAGTAAAGTAGTTGTGCTTCGCCAATATGACAGACACACGTGATCCAACAAACCTCAACGCGTCCATATTTTGAAGTTTGTGTATAAAATCAAATTTTAATGCCTCCTAATTTAAATTACTACAGAACACGCCCACCATAACAGCCACGAGAATATCAATAGTAACACCTAAAAAACGCAAACAAGGCAAGCAGAGAACACCCGGACGGAAACAATAGATTACTGGTTAAATAAGCATAACAAGAAGGATGAATAAAGAAATATAGCCGGAATCCAGTGTCTACCGAAAGGTTTAGACATGTTTGACTTGTTCAAAGGAAAGATTATTTCCTTCTCGAATAGGAAAGGATATAATCATCTCTTTCCTACGGGTATCGACCACATCTCCTACCGAACGCCCTACGTCCACGCAGTCTACCTCATAGGCATGTAAAACCGAAACCACAATCTCGCGTTCCTGACTTCCAGCGTAATCAAGCTTAGATTCCCATGGCTCAGAAGATAGAAAGAAGAGCAGAAACAGCGATAATCCCTGTGAGGGTTTTCCCAGCCAGAGTCCTGAAATCTGCCTTTCCGATACTCGATGAGTCCGAGCCGCCTGATCCACCTGAGTTTGAGTTAGAGCCATTTCCTGAGCTTGAACCTGAACCCGAACCTCCACTTGAACCGCCGCTTAAGCCACCGCCCTGGTTCGACGGTATGCTCACAGATTTAATCGATGTGCTGTAGTTTCGTGAGTGCAAGTAACCAGAACACGAACAGACAATACATACTTAAGAGCAAGGAAGGAATAAATTGCTCCAGATGCAGGACTAATAATAAATGATCAATGAACAAATTCGCCTCTGTATTGAAGGATTCAGACACACCTGTTTTTCCCTGAATGATCAGGACTGAAAACTTCTCCAGTTGAAGGGTCGTACGTCGTTGAGAATACAGTTCCGTTTATGTTATCCGCTGCATAGTTGTGTAGCTGGGACACCATTGCGTCCTGTGTAGACGGATTGGTCACAGTTGAGGCAGAGAATATCATGGCCTCTGAGTGGTCAAGATAAGTAGGATTATTTATACACACGCTAGAGATGCGTACGCGTTGTACTCCGATCCGGATCGCCACTGTCCAATGGCAGACCGTAGGTTGCGTTTCCTATTCGCTAACGTGAGGAGGTGATAAATGTCACGAACAATCTACATACCACCCGCGCTATTATAGAAGACAGTCGCAGCATCGTACACGAAGCTCGAGACGAGATTCAGTTGAAGCAGCTTGTCCGCATATAGATTGTAAATCAAGCCATTCGAATCTGTCTTGCCGTAGAAGAAGTTGATGTGCGAATTATCTGAAGCGACGGCGTCATTCTGCCATTGCGATATATACGAGAAAGCCGTATCCTATAGGAGACGGCGAGTTAGCATGAGAAGATTCGTTCAGAGTATACAGCGAAGAAACTGGCATTGAATGTTTTCTGGTCATCGCTGTTGCCAGCTATCTCGGAAATCTTTGCCATACTCGCGATTCCAATGATACCCTTTAGAGCAAGATTCGTTTGGTTGGCGGTCAGAACAAATGAATCAGCCGATCTCCTGCAGAACATCCCAGCATAAGACCAGAGTATATCAAATTATGTGCGCAGTGCGATTGGACGTACTGGTTTGAAGGCGTCAGCGTATTGTTTCCTAAGTATTCTGCCCACTTTCTCAGCAATGCGTACTGCATCGACGCAAGTTAGTAAGGAAAGGCCATACTCTCAGAACGGTGCAGAGCTCACATGCGTGCCGATGAACGTCCCGTTCCCAGATCTTTGAGAATAGGCCAACGTCATAATGAGCATATTGGCCGTTTCTACGCTCGCATTTTTTTCAATGGGTCAAGTACTTATGGAGTTAATTTGTTTATTCACCTTCAATGCCGAAGTCGTGTGTACTTGTTAAGTCGTCCGCAGTGGCATTCGGATACGAGGATCCTTTGCGAAATTGCGTTACATTAGAGATTTCTGAAAAGCGTTTCGGTGTTACGTGGGGACATACCAATATTCATTGCCGCATAATTTAAAGTGTATACAGTTGAGTCCTGGTATTCCAAAAGCGGTGACAGAAGATACCCTCCAAGCTCCGGGTTCAAGTATAGGAAAAGTGGAAACGCGGCATACAGTGTATCAACAGTGTTGACACTAAGGGTTGTCCTGCGTAAACAGAAACGTTGGCATTAAATCAACGGAGAGGAAACAATGGGACACGACTTACCCGTTAACATCGGACCCAATACCACCCATGTTTTTCATAAACACTTTCACGTCTGAACTATTCCAGCTTCCGTCACCAGACTTTGCAAGTGTGATGTCCAAACTACCCAGTGCCTGCCGCGTGACGAGTGCGAGTAGATCTGCATAGTTGGATGAGATTTGTTTGCCAGCATTGCGAAGTTGCGCATCCAATGTTGCTGCGGCTGACTGTGCACGAGAGAAGTCATCTAAGAAGCCTTTGGCCTAGAGGGAAAACAAAGGAAGTCAGATTTGAGACCAAGAGAAAATACCAAAACCCGCGTACAGCAGTCGCTCCATCGCCATAGGCGGACAAGAAGTAGGGATAACGATCTTCCAACGAACCAGAAGATGTGCGATATTGTATCGACGGACCTCGAACAACGGCGATTGCCCATACTGCGGGCTGCGACATTGATTGGACACTCTGCCAATCCACAGCAATACCCAGGACAGGCCAATTACTGGCATCGTATGTCAAATGAGCCAAGTATATCAAGAGCAAAAAAAAACGCACTCTCCGACTCCGCGGAAGTTGGTATCAACTTTGTTCCCTAGTGAAGTACCGTTCGCAGCGGTTCCACGATTAATTACATCCGTAGTTATTGCCCATGATGTCGTCGTCCCCGATATCTTTTAACAGAGTCACGTAGAGTGAGCCAAATATTCCATCTCACATGAGATTCCCTGACCTTCTTGAAGGCGTAGTACTCCGTGGCATCTTGTGGGTGATTCGAGACTTCCACATACTTCTGCTGTGCCTGCAGTTGCATACTTAGGACAATGTATTCTCCTTCATCACTGGACGACCACTGCGCTATATCGGATACATTTCCCGCAATGAACTCTACAATCACATGGAGTTCTCTATCAGCGAGATTCTCTAACAGAAATGGATTTTGAACGGCGCATACCGCCAGAAATGTCCGAATATAATCGCAAAGAGTGAGAATTGCCGTCGGTAGAAGACGCAGAGATGGATAGGTAGCTATACGGCATGGATTGGCGAACTAGATCCGTTGGCTAAAGATCGCATGAGCACACGTAAGGTGTGAATATATTATCGTCATGTAAAGCGGATATGCTCACCTCAACAGGGCTCAAGAATGATGCATTGATTTGCATGGGTCCAGCGGTGAAAATGAACGAAGTACGAGTTGCCGTAAATTCAACTGCAGTCTGGTTCGCGTTTACGGTCGGGATGGCAGCATCGCCCAATAGTTTGTAGGCTTGTCCGTCGACTACAGCGGACGCATACCAGCCGGTAATCTAGAAGACAAGGATTGAGAATGATGAATACAAATGTAACCAGCCCTGCACGGCGAATAATCTGCGCCAGCCAACCGCCAGAATGATGAAAGGCTTGAATATAAAGGCTTACCCCACCAGACCATTGTACAGCCCATTCAGTATTTAGAGAGGCTGGATTGTTTCCTTGCGAGAGCCAGCTATTCAAATACGGAGAGCGGACAGCAAGTGGCCAGGCAGGAGGAGTGAAAGGTGACGCTGTCCAGGCACTAGGGCCGTTTTGAGCAAAAGTCCCTTCCAAACATAATGCGATGGCCGCTAATCGAGCAACGGTGCACAACATTACGGACACGCTCGACTTCGGGAGGAAAGGGAGAACAGGGCGCCCAAGTGACGCCAGTTTTTATAAGATCGCAAGTTCCTGACAACATCGTCGACTTTGATGTAAAAAACCAACGATAGATCGCTTCGCCAAAACACAGCAAATCATGGTACCTGGCCCATCTAGTCATGAGACCGCCGTCAGACTCGTAGAAAGCTCCGTCGCATCATCTATCAATTTATCGCTACCAGATATCACAGTAAAACTGATCATGATTGCCCCATATGTTAGCGTTTCCCAAAGAAGATTCTCCGAGTAGCTAGACCATTGAATACCAGTATTCACTATGAATGAACATGAGCATTTGCTTCACTAAATGCACAGAGCAGTTGTTGGAAAAGAAAGCAGCCAGGAATAAACAGCAATTTGATAGTTGTTACAGAAGACTGATTCATATGAAGAGATAATAGGCAAGAAGGCTTGGCGGGTAATAAGATATCACGTGGCCCACAGATGCTGGCTAACGTTTTTGAACAATTAATCTTTCATCTCACCGCGCTCGAACAAGGATGTCTTCAAATCAAGCTTGAGCTCTTCCTCCCTTCACGGATTTATATGAAGATGCCTGGATGTTTCTTGCTATCAAGTTCCGATGACCCGTGCACTCCGACGCAGCGGCTGCCATCGATCAAGCACATTCAATCGACGCCTCTAGCTGATCTTTGTGCATGCATTAAATATCTCCGTTTCCTGTACAATCCTGAAGTCAGAGGCTCTCGACGAAGAAAATTGACTAGCCTAGGCACGAAGGAATCCAAAACGGCTGACCGTTTGAAAATTATTCGAGCAGATGCTTTTGAACAATCGCATGCTATTCGTTGGCTCACCGCTCTTGTAGCTCGCGGTGACAACCTAATATTGACTGAACTCGATAGCGAGGCTCGCGAATGTCTAGTCGAAGACGCTGCTGCCCTCCTCGCAGCTTGTGCTGGAACTGCTTCCTCGGGGCCTATCACCCGCTCTTATACATTTGGACCCTCACCATTAGGAGAGGAAGTGTCGCTCAAATTAAGGGATGCACCTATAGAGAATGGTGATTACGGTACCGTTGGTGCTCAAACCTGGGGCGGTGCATGCGTAATTGCGGATATGATTCTCGAAGATCCCGACCGGTTCGGCTTACCCCTCTACGGGAGCCGGAAAAAGATGGGAGAACCATTCAGGATAATTGAACTTGGAGCCGGGACAGGACTCGTCGGACTGACCGTCGCGAAACTCCTGGAGCTCCGACATGTACGCACGGAAATAGTTCTGTCCGATTTTCACCCATCAATATTGAACAATCTACGCTCAAATGTTGGCTCAACTTTTCCAAGCACGAATACATCTTGTGTGGATGTTTCCGTCGTTCCTCTCGACTGGTCTTCATACTCAAGTGCATCGGCCGATAGCTCGCTTGGAACTTTCGACCTCGTCCTCGGTGCCGATATTGTCTACGAGAGCACTCACGCCGTCTGGATCAAAGGATGCCTGCAGAAACTCCTCCAACCTAATGCGTACTTCCACCTTGTCATTCCTCTCCGTCACACCCACTCTGCCGAGTCCAGCACAGTGAACCAAGTGTTTGGAGACAGCATCCCAGACCCCGTTTTTGTAATCGTCGATCAGGAGCAGTTCTCCTGCGATGCACACAGTGATACTGACTTGCGAATGGTACATGGCGACCGTGCTGTCGAGGTCGAATACGCATATTATAAGATCAATTGGAAAAGTAGTTCGGAATAATAGTCATGGAGTCTGCAACCAAAAGCAACAAGCAAGGAACAGAGAATCCAATTATTCAACACCAAAACGGGACGAGAAGAAGAAAGGAATGGTCCAATGCATTCAAACCAGCCAAGTCGCAAAATAAGACATGGTTAAAAAATATTCAACCGGTCATCTTGGCGCTGGCGGACTCCCTAATATTGCATCAATGTTCTATGAGACTACTTCAAAGCCATCATCATAAGATGGCAGAAGTTGGCCAACTGTAATCCGTTTTTATGTAGTCTTCTCGATATCTCTTTGCAAGCTATCAATTTCTGTCTTCCATTCCTTCCGGTTTGATTCATCATCCCAAGGTTGCTGTGTGCTGCCGCACAGCTCTGGCCTCCACTTATCTCTCCTGAACGCTTACTATGCATTAATGACCTACTGTGCATTGTTGGCAACAGTACTTTGGACCGAGCGACAGGTTGTAGAGCATGAGAATACAATGGATACTACATAATTGTACTATTTATAGTAGATTCTTGCACACAGCTGGGGTGAAATATTTCCTTTTAATTCGTAAGAAGCGAGTTAGTGAGGGTGTCTTGTGAAAATGTTGACATAGCTGCCTCATTGTACAATTACTAAGTCTATCAGGTGTTGTTTGACCAGGGTACGAAACTGTAGCCAACCTCACAAAACTCTCAGATTGCTTGTCCAGAACCTCAGTGTTATGCAGAATCAGACCAATCTATCATGACACGTAGATTTGATTGTGGCTTAATCGTCAAATACCGGTGGTGCATTTGTACACCTCGGTGTTCTGTTTGAACACCACATCAACACATCAGTATAGATGGGAGCTGTCAAAGTAAAGGCATCACTACAACCGTTCAGCACACTCTGCAAATTGGTTTCCGAAAGGCAAGGAACCAGAAATGTGTCTAAGCCAATTTCGAATGAGGAGTCTTGAAAGTTAGCCGACTCGGCGCCAGAAATAGAACTCGTGTGGCTCCTATCATGCATATGGATGCCATTCAGCTGTCACATCAGCCCGAATAGAAGACAATATGCAGGCATGGAAGTCTCTGAGTACACAGTCCGTCCAATGGTAGGTAGGCATGAGGATAAAATGTTAGTAGTTACGGCCGCCCATACATTGGCAGGAGATCTGAGTTTGGTATTTTTGGAGACCTGCGTGTGATGTGCGCGGAGGAATTGGACTGTTGCAAGGCGACGCTATCGACCTAATATTGGTGCAGTGTCTACCTTTCTGAAGATCATGTCTGTCACTGTGCTCAACGAGAGAAAATGCTCTATCTCCCAGCTCTGTAGAATCTGCAGTCGAGAGGCAGACGCCACAATCTTCAAGAGAACAAACAAATATATTGGATCTGCTAAAACGTAAGATCATCCGTTTCGGATGAGCGCTAGTGATCGAAGGCGAAACATGAGCGGTGCGCTGGGCTAGTTGAGGTTCGGCACAACCCATGAGAAGCTACGACACGTCCTATACTTAACAGGGTGCAAATAAATGGATTCCGGCCAATTTTTACAACGTGGCGCTAAAAACAGAAGGTGAGAGGTCGTTGACTAATTTATTCGGGCCGTCATTGGTCCGCCACCGGAACTGAGATGAAAACAGCTTTCGGGTTTTGTTCAATTATCCTTCCTCTCTGTCGTTGAGGACCCATCGTCGTCATCACTACAGAATGGCGCATTAGGATGTCCAACCCCGCAAGGATTATCGGACAGGCAGAATGATTACGGAGCTGGAACGTTTTTGCTGGTGCGTCATTTCGGAGGTAGCCTTAAGAGGAGTGTAGAATAGGGTCCAAATCTGATCGCAAACAGCGTCAATGCACTAAGCTTGGTCTGGACAAACTAAAGAAAAGTTGACAAATCAGTTTACATCCTCTATCAAGCTTTGATCTGTGCTTCGAGATCATTAAAAAGGTAAGTTTGCCGCAGTTTGGAAAGGCAGTAATTAGCGACCCTGATGCGATCATCTTCTTGATTCCACAGAAATATGATTTCGGCTGGCCGGAAGATATGTTTCCAGGTCCAGGTGCACATCATTCGGCGCAGTGCATCCCCATCACGCTCGATCCTCTTTGGATCTCTCTCTATCCTGGTCTCCCAGGCTGTGGGCATCACCACAGCTCCAGCACACGCCGCTGTCGTCTCCACCATAGACATCTCTCCTTTCCGCTCTCTCCTCCCTTTTCAACGCCATGGTCGTCCTCCCCTGTCCTCTAGCGCGAATATCTGCCATGCTTCTTGGCTATACCACCCTCCTTTCGTTTATTATCTCCCAAACCCTCGCACAGAATGGTCCAGCAGGTTGGACAGCATCACCGTTTAACGCACCAGCACTTCCACTTGCTGTTCGTTCCCCATACTTGAGTACATGGCTTGGACAAGGGAACGCACCCCAGCCTCTGAATAACCTGTGGCCGAACATTTGGACGATAGCGGGAGTAAGTTTTACTGTCTCGATTACTTGACACCGGACGCTTCTAGGGGCAGGTGGACCTCGAACCCAAATCCTTCACTTGCACTGGATTCATTTGGCGATTATGAGATGCTCATGATTATTTTTGTTTTACAGATCACTGGGTGGTTTTCGTTAGTCGTAGTCGATGGTAACGCCTACAGAATAATGGGCGAGACGGCAATCTCGAACTTGACACTTGCGAATCAAACCAGCGTTGAGTTCACAGCAACACGTACCTCTTTCCTTTACACCGCCGGACCGATGCAAATTAATGCATCGTTCATAAGCCCCATCGAGGTGAGATACTATCCGTAAAAATCGGATTGAAGGGGTCGTTTACGAATTTCGCGTAATTTTGTTCCGTTTCATAATGACGTTTTAGCCAACGGATCTCGTACGCCAGTCACTCCCGTTTGCTTACTACACGATGTCTGCGAAGTCACTTGATGGCAATGCGCACCAGTTACGAATGTACTCGGATATCTCTGGTGGTACGTCTTCATTCATTTTCCATACATCGATTTTTGAGATAATCCTTTTAACACCAGAATTTATCACGGGTGATACCACGGAAATTGCGACATGGAACGGAGATGATGAGGGCAGTTACGTAGTGCTCTCGATGCAGTTGCAGACGCAGCAACAATATACGGAGTTAGGAAACCACGCGCAGGACGCGACAGAGTATTATTCGTTTAAAAAGGTTTGTTGCCATTTTTATCCACATGCTATCAAGAGGCTGAAGTGGATTGCCGCTTACTTCTTGAATCGTCCGGGAAAATTCAGATTAGCGGGGCAACAACTACGTGGGCAATCACAGAAGATCTTATCAATCGTAATAGAGCAATGAACATGAGTTCTCTCGGTAACACCCAGGATCCAACACCTCGCGCCGTCTCAGTGTGCGTCTCGAGACTCCTTTCACTCCCGATTGTCTAATCTGACTCTGTAATAGAAACTGGCCAACTCTCGGTATCGCAGTAGACTGGACAAGTATCAGTCAGACATCGGAGCCTGCAGTGTGGTCTATTGGATTAATACGCAACCCATCCATTCAGTATCGTACCCCTTCCGGAACGCTGCAAGACCGAATACCATATTTCATGACTCAGTATAGTGATGGGGTAACAGCGGTTCGTATTTTTTTTTCTTTTCCAATTCATAAGATCGAGTATTAGTGTTTATTCCCGACCTTCACAGTCAAAAGCATTTCTCGACGATTATGATCGTGCAGCATCCGCCGCTGCAGTTCTCGATGACCAGATCCGTAGTGCGGGCGGCCAATATTCGAACGAGTATGTGAACCTGCTCGAATTGAGCGCGCGGCAGGCGATGGCCACTATGGAAATCACAATCTCAAAAACGGGCGGTGGAGACTGGAACTACACCGACACGAAGGCGTTCATGAAGAACATGGGTAACGTCGGGTCAGATGCCAACGGGTATGTATTTGCCCCAATGCGAAAGAGGGGGCAATTTGTTAATTAACTGACTCGATATAGGAATACGATGAGCGTAAATACTGTTGACGTGCTCTATGCTGCGTTCCCTGCTCTCCTGTACTTCAATCCCGAGCTGGGAGGACAGTTGCTTTCGCCACTGTTGGAGTATCAGGACTCATCAACCTATACTCTGAGTTACGCTGCGAGGAATATTGGCTAGTTGTCCGTCTGTTTGATCTAGGCTGTATTACTCATAGTTGTACTCAAATTGCAGGTTCTTCGTATCCGAATGCGACAGCGGATGGCATCACCGATACCCACGACTATCGTATTGAAGGTGGGAGAGTCTGTTTAGTAGAAAGTTTCGCAAGATTATTAAACTCAAATTTCAGAAACGGCGAACATGCTCATTATGACCCTTGCTTACTCGCAACGATCCGGGAATGGGACGTTTATCAGCAGACATGTAAGTGTCGGGCTGTTTTTCTTCTACGAAGGACCCTGATTAATTTTCTTCAGTACACGTTACTTCGCAGTTGGGCAGACTATTTGGTAAACAACACTCTAACTCCGATAAACCAGTAAGTATTTGTCGCCTTTTGTGACAGACAGCTATAGTCGGTTTGCTAATTGATCCTATCTTTACAGGAAATCGGCCGACTTCACCCTTGGTTCACAAACGTCGAGTAACAACCAGACAAATATCGCGCTGAAGGGTATTATTGGTATCTCTGCCATGGCAAAGATGGCAAGCTACGCTGGATCAAATGGCGACCAACAGAGGTTCAATGTCAGTCTCTTCTCTAACTTCCTTCATGATGCAGCAATTTATAAAAATATTCCCCTTGCGATTTTACAAAATAATTTAGGATACTGCGTTGTCTTACATATCACAGTGGCAAGCCAACACGATCGCGCCGGACAACTCGCATCTCAACTTCATCTATGGAGACTCGGATACAAATGGCTTGATCTACAACCTGTACGCGGATAAGCTGTGTCAGCTTAGCTTGGTCTCGGATCAGGTTTATCAAGTGGCGACCGTATTCTATAACAATATAGCTGGTGAGTCCTTGGATGCTTCGTGTTTGCTCGTTACTCAACGGCAATTATTTCAGGCCAGACGAGGTACGGTTTGTCATTAGACAACAATGACGCGACAACGTCAGCTGCACGTACGTCTTCCCCGGACACGTCAAAGGCGGAACCACTAATCTAATTCGTCTCATAGATTGGATGATGTTCTCGGCGTCAACTGTGACGAACCTCGCGACCCAGACCTTCATGGTTAGCCAGTTGAACACTTACGCGTCGTCTAATCAGAACAACACACCATTTTCGGCCAATTTCAATCCGACGACCGGTATTGCTACTATTGGAAAGAACAGGTGGGATTTCAATTACTTGCCCACTGAATGTAACTCAGTTTTTGACATTTTAGTCCCGCTGTTGGTGGCGTGTTCGCTCTGTTGGCGCTTAAGTGGGTTCTTCAAGCCATACTCCCGTGAAATAGTTCCTTATCCTTCTCGTAGCACGACAATTCAGTCGAAAATAACCATTCCAACGGATGGCAGTACGATCACAGACGGTTCAGGATCCTCTTCCTCGGGTAAAAAGTCAAACGCAGGTGCGATCGCTGGCGGTGTTATCGGTGGACTCGCAGGGGCAGGTCTTATCGGATTCGGGATATTCTTCTTCATGCGTCGACGGCGCATGCAAGTCGAGCAGGAGAAATACGACACTCGTCCGAATCCAATTGGTTCATACTCGATATCTCCGACGTCGTATTCAAGTGGACCTGGAAAGTTACCAGGGTTCAACGACGGTGCGACATTCGAACCATTCCGATATGGTGATTCGACGCACAATGTCTCTGCATCTCCTCTTAACCCACATGGAACCGTCGCGTACACTTCAATATCACCTGGTACACTTCCTGTAGGCGACGCAGCAGTGTACGCTTCGACTGCACAGAACGTACGAGACAGTACGTACTTCCGCACACACCGACCCGGAGAGAGTGACGATATTGGACCGAGTGCCTCGCAAGTAGGCAGTTCAACGACCAGTTCGGGTCGTGGCTCAGGTCGCGGATCGAGTCGAGGTGGTGGAAGTTCAGGACGAGGACGAGGACAAGGATCGTCCAGCGATGGGACAGCGCCTCAACAAGTTATGCTCGCGAAGCAAACACTCTTGAATGAGGAACTTCGTTCTGAGGTCGATAACCTCCGACGAGACCTCGAGCGGATACGAGAAGAACGACATGTGGGAGTATCTGTCGTACACGAAGATGCACCGCCTTCATACGACGAACCAGCGTAATCTGTTTCAGCTCGTTTTATTTCATTTTCATCTCATCTCACCTCATCGTGCTCTCGTCTTGTTTTATGCAATTCGTATTCTATCCTATTGGTTTTGGTTTCTTGGACGTCAGTCGCGCATTGCGGGTGGACGTTTTTCGTCTCATGTACTGAAGTTTTGTATGTATATAGACATTTGTTGGATCGTCCCGTTCTTCTCGATTGTTTTATCCCTTTCGCTTCTATCAAATTCACTCGCAATTAAAGAGTATCTATCTGAAGCTATGTCATCGTCTTCCCCAGAATACCTCTCTTATCTTGTCTCGTCATACCTCGCAATCATTCCTATACGTATCAAACACCCCACACGCTCTTTTCAGTGTAATTTGCTGTTTAAACCCCTCAAAACTCTCCAATAATCTATTGTTGCCTTTCGGACTTCAATATGAATCAGTACAATGTGTTATCTCAAGAAACTGTCATCTCCCCAAGCACTTTCAGTAAGTCGATGCCCGCATTTGTCACTGTGTAAGCAGCAGTACGTGCCATCATAACTCTCACCCGCAAGACATAAGTCTGGTACGGGGTACTGACCCTCTTCCAAATCCTTCCACCGTTGCTCATCGAGTTCCTCTAAGCCGCCTAGGCCTTGCGTTTCCGGTGCTGCACCAGGACCAAGAGCATAGATATGTACATTGTTCTTTGCAGATGTGCGAAGTCTCGACCACGATGCACGCAGTCGATTAATTCCAGCTTTCCAGCCTTCAGCAAACTCCTCGCGGAAGGTTCCGAAGTGTTCGGATAGGTCCATCGAAGCATCAATACCGGGGATTGGGGGTGGTGCAGTTGCAGTTATTGTAAGAAGAGAAGGCGGCAGGGGCGCAATCCGGACTTTATGCTGAAGGACGGCAGGATCAATAGGAGGTGGAGGCACGGCGTCTGACTCAGTGCCTCCATATGGATTACTTGCAGGAAGAACAGGGTCGGATGCACTGCGGATGGAGATCGTAGCAGTCGCAAGGCCTTTCCTCCCTGCGCGTATCCTTCGTTGGGGTTGTTGAGCCTGATCAAGGGTTAGCTGAGTGTGCATCTCTCTCCAGGCCTTCAAAGCTCTTTCGCGGTCACGAGCGCGTTTTTCACCAATCAATGCACAATCCATCCCGAGTGCACCCCACTCACTCGGTTCACGGCCCGCAAGCATAGCACACCCATCCAGTTTTACGTGCTCAACACGGTCAAATCGTGCAAGAAGTCGCGTGAGTTGCTGGCCTTTGATGTTTCCTGTTGAGAGGTCCAGAGTTCGTAAAGATGGAAAGGCGTTCGGAGAGACCGCGAGGTGGGGACCCACGTCTCGTGCTGGTATGCGAATTCGAAGTATGGTTATACCCTGGGCTGCTGTAGAGATGGATAATGGGAGGAATTCTTTGAGACCGAAGAAAACCAGGGGCTGCGCAAATGGTCCTTGGTCGACGAGTGGGTCTTGCACGATTGATAATGAGCGTAGAGATGAGGATGGCCAGCTTGCGATTGCAGAGATCGCAGGATCAAAGTACGCTCCTTTCAGAAAGTGGTAGTAATTGGCACGTTGTACACTGAGAGACATTAATAATTTAACATTAGCTCGAAGCCACTAGTTACTAGTATGCATATAGGGACTTACTATGGTCGAAATCGCAATGACAATACTTCAAGTCGCTCCCGTGGACGTTCAAATACCTCCAGTAAATTCTCTGGAGCGAAGTTTGGCCCGACAAAAAGAGCGAGGTTTGTGAGGTCGTCCAGCAAGGCAAGGAGGTTAATAATAACCTGCGCGTCCGCCGACCAAGTCTCTATGCTTAGCTCACGAACATGGTGTGCTTCGGTCTTGCCACCGCGCAAACGTTGATAAAGCTGAACGGCGCTTTTAGGCGTACGTATCCTGATCCGCTCAAAGAGACGTTTAAGTGGAATAGGTGCGTCTGGGATCGTGCGGGTGAGTGTCAGTACTGTAGATTGGACGACTTGGTCGTCAAGGTGGCTTATGATGGCACAATAGAGCTCAGACGGTAAAGATGAGAGCGACATTGTGCTCGTGGAGTCGTATCACTGGTAAGTGGGGTCATGGATAGTGGCCGTCCCTTCGCCAACGTCTTTATTGCTTCCTGAAGTCCCTTGCCTTCGCCTTCTCTTCGTCGTACCCGCGCTCGGACTCGGACTCGGCCTGGTCGTAGGTTAAGCGAGAGTCAGCGAAAATGACTATAATTGTAAAGAAACTTGTATTTTCAAATGATTACTAATCAAATGCTTCAATTTTCGCACTAAAACTTTCGACGCATAATACATACTATGCTTCCATGCATGTCTCGACTTCTGCAAACATCCGGCGCAGCTATTAACCACTTGCAAAGGCAGTCCTAGGCAATCAAGAATGCGTAGGCTTAATTTTGATTACTATCACTTCAACGTGATAATCAGTTGATCAAATTAATTGCTGCTGTAGCACATAACATATACTCATGACATCGTTCTTTGTAAATATATTTGAATTTTGCAATTCCCCGACCAGAATGCAATGGATATACATTTATGCTGTCTCTTTCCATTGGACAAGCATGCGCCTACTAGTAAAGGTTACTGATTCCCAAACGCAGTATTCAACCAATAATTCAAGCCCTTCCCATTCCATTCCATCTGTGCCGAACACCTATCATAACCGTTCCGATCTTCCGGTAACAATAAAGGTACGTCTTCTTCGCGGGTAGTTGTAAACCATGGATGCTCGACTGCATCCGCGGCCTTCAGTCTATCTTCTGGTGGATACACGAGCAGACGATGTATGAGGTCCAATGGCGTTGCAGCAAACTGTTCCGGCGCCTTGTGCTCCGAACCCGTACTCGGCGTGTTGGGTGGTATGTTCGGCAAACGGAGTCGGATATCGCGGGACGGAACAACCTTGAATTGGATTTTGTTGGCATCTGGAAGTGCCTCGAAGCACTATAAGAAGTATAAAATATTCTGAGTATCAACACTCAAGTAACATGAAGGGGTGATGACAATCGCAGACTAACAGGCCAGTTTTCCGTACTTGGTGTTCCTCTGAGACTGAAAATGCTCCATGCAAGCCCAATACTTCCTCGTCTGCCTTCAAATAGCGGTTGACGTGCCCATTCCGCAGAGCGGAAAGTGACAGCGTCGACGTCCTTTGGGACTAAGTACGCCAGTCTCGGCTTATCGTCATCGTTCGACCAAGCTTGTTCGTCTTCATCGTTTTCGTCATCGATGTATAAATTACGGTGCAACTGGATGGGTGTGAAGAAATGTGCTATGGTGCATCCGAGACTCCATAAGTCTGTACCACATGCATCGTACGTTTTTGGTCCAAAGAGTAGCTCCGGTGCTCGAAATGGTCTGCGTCAGAAATTGATGTTAGCTCATCACAACTTTGCGCCCGAGAGGTAGAACATACCCAGTGGCGACGTCGTTATACATATTGTCTTTCGATTCGGGCCATAAATTCCCAGCGTCAGCATTTGTGCTCTCTTGATATGCGATACCGAAGTCAATGAGCTTAACACATCCATTTGGATCTATCAAGACATTTCTCGGTTTGATATCCCGATGACCGACAGGTTCTTCCAACCCATGTAAATATTCAAGGGCACGGATGAGTTGATAGACGATAGACTTCGTAACAACCTCGAAGATTTCTTCTCTAGATGGGTTCTGTGCATCAACATATGCAGCGCGAACAAGATGCTTAATCTGTGTGGGTATCGGACTAGGAGTAAAAGTTGGAGTATCAAGGAGATTCTCGAGACTGTAAGGTATCCAAGGCGTGTACAGTTCAATCGTTGCGCCTGTGCGCTTCGATCCAATAACGTCGATAATCTGTCTAGGACCTGATAAGCTGTTAGCGTAACACTAAACCATGTGTTACTGACATTAATATGAGAGATCTTCGAAAGTAATTCAATTTCCTTTATAATATCGTGTGGTTCTGGCGAGAACTTGCGTTTCGCGGGTGTGGACTTGATAGCGATCCATTGTTCTGTCTCTCCGACTAAGCGCGCTATAAAGACAGTAGACGCTACCCCAGTCGCTCGTTCTTCTGTAGTGGTCTATTACGATCATAAGTTTGTCGAATGTATAATCCTTGTAAGACTAGACGCACTTCGTCAATAGTAATTGCTTCTACCTCATCGCCGCCCATGAGTATGTGCAGATCAGTCTAGCTCTTGATTAAACTGCATCCTATAGAAGTGAGTGTCTACTCCAACTGAAATAATACGGAACTTCAGAGCTTACGACAGTAATTGATATAAGCCTGTGCAGTGTGCAAAGTTGTGGTTGATGATCGGAGCCCGCGTAATCGTAACTTTCTAAGCAATGCATCACGTGAGCAAATATGCCTCAGAAAAGCTGACTTTCTCAGACTGAGAGTCGATCCTTTGTCTAGTCATCCATGTCCTGACCATTCTCTATCATCCCATCGCACTCGATGGCAACGTCGACGTTGTCGACTTTTACAAAAGCATATACGCAGCCTACTTTTATTGATACGGACCGGGTTTTACTTCGCCCACGGCGTTATGAACGTGTCGCGGGATTCCTCGTCCTTGTCCCACTTCTCCCGAAGCGGCCGCCGTTACCGGCTCTTCCAGCTGAGATATGGCGTAGGATTCTGACCTTGGTAATGCACGAAGACACAGAGAATACGAAGGGCTGTTGTATGAATAAAAGATCTTATTCTGATTCTGACATAAAGTCTGGGAAAGAGCCGACGTGCGCAAAGTGGGACTTAGCCCTGATCTGCAAGGATCTGAAGGTCAGCACCATTCCTTTATTAATATCCAACTATTGAATTGTGATTGTGATGCTTTGCCGGTGATTTTGGCAAAGCAGGACTGGGGATTGCGCATATATCTACTTCTGTGACATGTTCGTTGTCGCAAGATGTTGTGCTAACTGACTTGAACTTGGGGACGTGAGTGGCAAAGCGTTGCAATCACAACTCCCCTTTATTGCCGACAAGCTATTGCTGACTTGTTGTGCCCACAGAATGTTGCTTTGCCTCTCCTTTATTCTGAATGCAAGATACGAACAATTCGTACGCTAGAGAAGTTCACCCACCACCTCCACTCCTCGGACCAGAAATGGGATTCCATTCGTCGAATACCATATTCTACGCCAGGTAGATGGGTTCAGTCGCTGGATCTGTCCGAACTCGACGTTATGTCGCGCTCTGAGTTTTGCCGAGTCGACGAGCTGCTGACGACGTTGTTCTCGCTGCTTCCTTTTCTCTCACGCTTGGAACTCAGTTTGTCCATGCAGCTCAGCCGTCGTGCGATGGCGTCCCTCGGACTCAGAGATGGCGCTCAAAATTTACGTGTTCTAACTGGGATCAAATATGATGCTACGACGGTACTCTCAGGAGAGGACCCCTTGACTGAGCTTGTGGCTCATTGTACCAGTTTAGAGGAGCTCGAAGTAGTCGGTGTCGGGATGGACGACCTTGACACCGCCCGCTCTTCCGCCGAACTCAGTGACCGTCCCTGTCCGCCACTGCACCTTCCACGGTTACATACATTAACCATCCTTGCGACTCCGACGTCGCCGCTACTCATTCGACTAACTCATAGTCCGTTGCCAGCGCTCCAGTCTGTGGTTGTGACGCCATACGGCGACCTTCAGCGACCTCAGTCGTGTATCTCAGAATTCCTCATTGCGCATGGACAGTCTATTCGAACACTTGTCCTCCATACGCCCAAATCCTGGCCAATTGTACGATTCCCGCCTCCCCGTACGCTTTTGCACCTTCTTCCTAATCTCAGACAACTCTCCTTGGAGAGCTCCAGTCTTGTTCTTGATTCTCCTTCGCCGAAGTCATCAGAACACCCCCTATCGTCAATTTGGATCTCGCGTCCTACTGCGGGATTGCGTGAAGAGCTGATACGTGTTTTACCGTATATACCTCGTCTGCGTGAGGTGCGTGCAAGAGATGTACGCTGGGCGAAACGCGGAATGTCTGCCCGTGCTAGGGAGGCAGGTTTCCAGGGTGAGATGTATGCATGGCGGCATCTTCTTGCACCTCGTGGTGTTAAAATGCTTGATGCTGATGGTCATGACGAGGCAGGATGTTGAGTTTTCGAGATTCGATTTGATGTCGGTGGACTTACGCTTTCATGCTCTGCATCTATTGCGATTGCGATTGCTGTTAATTTCGTATTATGCTCTCACATTGGTTCCTCTTGATTTCTTTACCTTGTTCATTATGCAAAGTAACTCCCCGATCCACATACATTTGCCAATCTTAATAGTATACCCATCCATTGTATTTGCATATGTTATCCAATTATTGCTATGTTCTACGGTCCATTTCCATCCAGGATCTGCATTTCTATCCAAACTTTGGTTGAACATAACATTTTTTAGTCTGATTCACAAGAAAACCTGGCCGACGATAGTCAACTTTGCTTCTCCTGCGAGATAAACTTTCCTGTTCTCCTGATCAACGGTTACCCAAAGGACACCGCCCCTTGGACTGACAAATTTCGCGACCATCTCTGCCTTGGACGCAATATTCATTTTATTCGCCCAATACGGTGCCATGAGGCAATTCGCTGACCCGCAGACTTGATCCTCCGGCACACCAGACCGCGGCGCAAACATTCGAGCTTCGTATGCGATGCTTGGTTGCTGAGATTTCCTTGTGAGGATGTTAATCCGATAGGGCGTTTCTTCGTTCTGTTTAACCATTTAGTTGCAAAAATGGCGTATTGAAATGGATGGACCAACGAAAGCGGGAATGTCTATGTCGACATCTCCAAGAGCCTCACTTTCGTCAAGTTCAACGAGTACATAATGGTCTGAACCAGGTTCTCCGCTCCCAGAGCATCCAATATATTTCACTTTGACATCTCGACGGAAAGCCTTAGAGATCACTCCCTTTATTAGTGCGAACTCTGAATCTTCGACTGACTTGGCGTCGAACAAGGGCATCTCAATTTCAATCCGATCAGCAGCTCCTGTGACTTGGATGCGGCGCGCATATACGTATCGCCTTGAACCGCATAACACTGACGTGTGTCGGAACGAGACCAGGTCGCGCAAGGAGTGCATGGGCGGCCGCAAGTGTTCCATGTCCGCATAGTTGGTGATTCCCTCGACACAGTGAACCAGCGGATACGAAACGTCACTGTTGTCTCATCTGGCTCCGTTTCCCCAGTCTCAGCAGGGAAGACAAAGCATGCCATGGGCTGATTGAAGTTTTGAGCGATTTTGAGGTATAGATCGTCATTAGAGAGTGGAGCGTCGAGGAAGAGAACGACAGCTGGGTTTCCTCCGAATACAGAGCTAGAGAAAGCATTGACAATGGAGAAGTCGCATTCTTGTTGGGATAGTTCAGCCATGGTTATGCGGATGTTGGGACTTTTCCCGTCTTCATCATCTCTTTATCGCCTGACTTGATGTGAGTCATACTTCCGATTCTATCACGGAAGGGCCGGTACGGTTTTTTCGAAGCTTGCAGTGATCGTGATACAGGATTCTGGTAGGATAATTGAGTAAATCTGGAATATATCTACACAAAAACTCGTCAGGAAAGCCTCCCTGACATTGCACTCACCTGTGTCGCCTGTGTCTTGCATCCACTTCACGAAGTCACAGAACGACATTCTCATTGCTTCGTGGCGATGAGCATATAATTTAAAAAAAGCAATTGCACTCTTCATGATATTCTGCACAATCTCAATATCTTTGAAGGTGGTTCTGAAAGTCTAGCTCTGCAAAAATATACTGTACGTCGTCTGAATTGAAAGAGAGAACGACTTCCGAGACAACTGAATTACGTTGCAGCTTTGCGCAGACATTAGTAGATACTAACGTACATGTAGAAATCTGGCAAGCTAGGAAGTTCGAAGAAGAGATAGCATGCAAGACAAGACAGACGGTGTGTTGAGATTCAACACTCAAGAGAAGAAAACAAACTTTCGCGCTAAGGATGCACTTTAAGCGGAGTTTCAATACGCGTCGCGTCGCGACTTTCTGTTTGACACAACGACTTGGGCTTGGAACGTCTCATCTCGCCCTACGTCAAGAAAGGATGTCGTGTGACGATGAGCCCTCACTTAGAGCTCACTTACGTGAACTCCTCCTTGAATACGCATATACTCACTTGACGGTCGACTATATGGAATATTCCCGCTCACTCGTATCAGGCGTGAGTGGGTTCTTTGTGCTTCTGCGACAAGCGTCGACGACTTGCGATTTGCGCGTCATAGATTTCAGATAAGATCCTGAAGCCGATACCAACTCATGAACCCGGACAGCTCGTCCTCCCGACTGATCCCTTCGACGACCTCAAGAAAAAATTCAAATTTGATAATTTAACCGCTTACGATGAGGTCTTGGAACCTAACCCCGAGACAATGCAGCTACTGAAACGGATATACTCTGCGCCAAAAGGAAGGCCAAGAACTCAAACCGTCTGGGAAGAAGAGGATGATTGTAAGCTGCTGTTCTGAGGTGAATACAGCATACTTACACTTTTCCAGTCGAATATGAAACCATGCCTCATCGTCCGATGACACCCATATTGTCACGCTCTTCGAGAAATAAGACGCCGTCTCTTGGGAAGAGGGTACGGAAGAAATCACTAGCAACCTTCGTTTCCTCCCACGGAGTACTAGGGATTACGAATGAAGACGTCCCCGAGGAAAAACCGATTAAGATTGAAGACTGTCTGTAAGTCGTCTACCCCTCACTCTCCACTAATATTTGTCTCAAATGCCGCAGGGATACAAAATTAGTCGTAGATCCTTCTATTGTATCGGATTTAGACAAATGCATACAAGGCAACCCTTTTCTCTGTCGTACCGCCCCGAGGATTCCGTCGCATGCAACGGAGTTCCTTCGATCTGTGTCTCCTGTCTATCAAGAGAAATTTAAACCTATGTCCCCGCCTGTATTTCCCCGTGTACAGCGCTCGAGGCCATTCAAAGTGAAATCCAAAGATAGTATTCTAGGCCAAATCAATCTAGCACCTGTAGAAGTAGACGACGACGAACCAGATATCGCAAATGCAAACATGAGTATTATAGATGGGTGGAGTACGTTAAATCCTGTTGGATGTATTGTTTTGCTCATGCCTTGTAGCTACTATCCCAACTAGTACTTCTACTCCCTCACTTTCATCCGGAGCAAGTGACGTGGATGAGTTGGAGGAAGAAGCGGATTTCTGGAAACCATCGTCGGAAGGTGGCTCGGGTGATAAAGCAATATTGCATGAAGCAAAGATGGGTTCGTATCTGCCATCTCCAAAGCTAAAGTACTTTCTGAGGTCTATTATAGAAGAACCAATCTTCCCTCGTGCGAAAAGACCTCGAGCTGGTGCGATGAGCAAAGCGGACGGCAAACAGAAAATAAGGTGTGTATTGCATTCTGATGCTCGGGCTTCCTGTATTTAGTACAAAACTCGCAGCCTTTCAACATTCATCTCGTCACGTCTTCCCCACAAATCCGTGTCACGAGGCTACACTTGTTCGGATTCTGACGACGCGGCGCGTACACTATCGGGACCTCCTTCGGCCGCTGGAATATCTGAATCCATGCTTGGACAGCCCCCTTCCGAGTCTGACGTCCCTTCAGCATCACCTGGTCATTCTGCAGGAGATTCCCTTGATAGGGAGATTAGGAAAATGTTAAAGGCCCATGGTGGCTATGCGAAGAATCAGTCTTACCAAGATATCATCCTGAACGAAAGGTTGGATGATAAGGAAAGCATGTTCATGAACGGTACGAGCCGCGGTTCTAACCTCGTGTATATCCCTCAAGCCCCATTATTATAGTTCCAAAACTTTCGCCGCCGAATGAGTATTTACGGAAGAGCCGAGGAAAAGGAGTTACAAAACCCGGCTCGAAATCAGAAGGTACTACGAACAAGCCGAATTTCGTTTTGCCCATCACTCCCAAGAAAGTCTCAGGGCTTAAGTCTCTAAATTTAGAGCTCAGTTGGCGGTAGGATTTTAATCTTGATTTATGCCTTATATTAACAATCTCATAGACCATTCTCGTACGGAGCAAAGATACCGACACACACTGACCTGCTCGGTGTAGAGTCACTCCTCTCTATAGATGATAACCTTCGGGATGAGCAGAATGCCCCGATTACTTCCGACTCTGTTGAGAAAATCCTGGCAGGCTTAAGCATCTCTGCTAACTTCGAGGACCAGGCACAATCTATAAACACTATCGACCGTACTAACGAACACTTCCTGAAAGATATAATTTCCGACATCGACTTAAACAGCATTTACCCAAGATTCGACCCAAATAGGGACTTTGACGATGACAATACTTACCTACTCTCTCGCTCTGATCGACGTGCTCTCGCAATGCACCAACTAAATCAACATTACACTACTGCTAACGAAATACTGCCCTTCGACGATTCTCAATCTAATGAAACTTTGGACTGCTCTTCGGCAATCACCCCAGAATTTGATGCTCAATTTCAAGGAACGCAGAACATCGCTGAGACCAGCGCATATACTCACATTTCGCAGCCTAATGTGGACGGATTGTCTGCTCGTGAACGCGACAATAACTACGACGACGACGATTACCACTACGCTTGTGATGAACAAGATAATTCTCACCTCAAGAAGAGACGCCGACTAAGTAACGCGGAACTAGATGCTCTTTGCGCTATGGAGACGATGTCTCAGTCCTGCTCGCTCACTGTCGATCCTAAAGACCTCACACTTCTACCAACGGACAACTTCTCTTACACACTCGAGCACAATACTGATTTCCTGTCTGTAATACCTGTTCAAAACTCTCAATGCACTCTGGCATCTTCTGAATCGCTATCACTTTCATTGAGCGAGGACAACTTGCCGCAGAAATCGCTTACCCTGAAGGTCGCTGACGACCCTATGGCAATTACGGAGGAAACTCATGGAGCGTACGGCGAGCGCAGGGTAGCTCTTGGTATCCATAGAGAAGCTGTTAACGACGACGAATTCCGGGCTCTTAAGGACCAGCAAGAGGACGTCTCTGTACTGGACTATGAACTTCAACAGCACCAACGACTGTACCCAAGCGAATGTCCGCCTGTAGAACGAGGTTTTACTCCCGAAGTTCAGCCTGCACGGCCTACCGTTGACCAACAAGACGTCTCACGGACTGGAAGGACTGGAGTGCATAGCAACGGCAATAGCATACGCCTAAAGAACTTGGAAGGGCCTCAACACGCATCCTTTTCAGCCTCCCCTTATCATTCACTTTCCACATTTCTTCACGCTCGAGGAAGGAAAAATATTTCCACTTCTCACAAATCTGCATTAGTGCCTGAAGACCCTGAGCCGAGTTGCGACGTTCGTGACACCGAGAGCGGCCATGCGGAAAATGAGTCTTACCGAGTCTATTATTCTGCTCCTCCGGAGCTACTCTCTGATACTCGGGCATTCACCATACCAGACACTTGGGAGCCACCGACGATAGAGCATGCATATTTGGTCTCCGTTGATCTTCTACAGCAACAAGCTTTAGTACGGGCACTAGAATCTCATTGTGCGATCCAACTCAAAGAACGTGATACTGTCTCTCCTCCGTTCATTCCGACTTCTGTTCCGATAAGTCCTCAGCCATTTTCTGCAGAAATTTCCTTGATAGTGGGACCAGATGCAGGAGTCGTGTTCTTCCCTCTTTCGGCAATTCCTTCGCAAAATGCTTACAAGACTTTACTTGATGCACTGGCATTTCATTCTTGGCGATTTTCTCACATCTTGCTCGTGCTAATGGCGTTCCCTCGGTCTCGGCTTATGCGAGCTGCGAGTCTAGATGAAGAGGACAGAGATGGACCTAGTTCTTATAGTCCACCCGTTTTAAAGGCCGCTCGTCGTATACGGCGTGATCTCGGACTTCGTGAGGGTACTGGAGAGAAGCATACAGGGTGTACTGTTGAACTAGCATTTGCGGATAACGTTGAACACGCTGCGAAGCTTGTTAGAGCATTTGGTGACACAGCACTCCGTGACAGTGTTGTAGACTATACACAGTACATCGGTGAGGAGGAACAAGAGGTAAGCACTCACCACCTAGACTTCTGCGAGCTGACAAAGTGCAATCTTTTATTAGGGTGAACGCGATCTAGCCGAACTGGAGGGGATGAATACGTACTGCGCAGCTGTTATCCTACGCTGCTGCACACTTGAAGAGTTTCTTGAGATGCACCCCAAGCACCGTACGGAAGGCCTCGTGGACTTGATCGGGAAGGAAAGAATCGTAAGCGTACTTGGTTGTTGGCTCGTGTTAAATTCTTAAACACAATTCATTCGCTTTAGGAACGAGTAAATGCTATTTTGAACAGAAGAATACAGGTAATGGACCTGGACCTTCCGTCGTCTTCGGAATTTTCTTCGCTGAATTAATGGATGTGACGCTGATGTCCTTCAACACTATGTACACTCCTAGCATGTATGGCGTTGTAACCGAATAAATCATCAGGATCGTTTGCGTAAGATACTCTATGATGAAAGAGAAAACTTTTAGTAAGTTTTACGAGAGGAAGCATCGTGAATAAATTTCATTTATTGTCCTCGCAACTTCTCTCAGGTCTGTTACATTCAAGCAAGCAATATCTACTCATACCAACTAGGTCGCAGCATTTCGCGGCGTAGGCCTCACTGGACAGATCCGAATCCAGCAGGGCAATTCTGGAAAGCGATGCTTGCAGAACCGCTGCGCATATAACATATCCTAGCTGTGATACACTCGCCAGTACACGGCTGCGTATGTACAGAGCCTTTGCCTTGGAAATTGTTGAAGGTCTATTCGGAAACGTTAGACAAAGGAGTGGATTGAGCTGTAAATTCGCTCACCGTTACAAGAGAAGGATCGGCTTCCATGGCTACATTGAACAACGTCGTTGTATTCAAATGCAAACGATCGACGAGATGCAGGGAGAACGTACCTTCAGTTACACGATGCCACCAAGTTGCATTCAACGGATCATTGGGTCCCCATCCCGTTATATTCTGTCCATACGCATCGCGTGTACTGTATTCAAATGCATATGTAGGGCCGAACTCCGTTTGATCATCCAATGCACTGAAGGTGTTGACATCGCTTCGCCATCTGTTCGCAAGATTAATCGTTAATCGTACAAGCCGGCGTTCGGATTAGAACTAACGTGTATGCGTCAAGAATGTCGAACGTCTAATACCAAACTAGTCAGATCCCTTGGTCACTGATTAAAAATACAAGCTTGACTTACATTTGAGTCGACCTCATAAACGCGGAACCCCGAGTTCAGGTTTGTCAGCGGCGTAATCGAGGGAGCGATCTGCAGAGCTCATTAACACAAGACCTTTGCGAAGAAATTCGGTGAGGTGACGAACCCAAGATACAACTTGTGCATTCTCAGCAGTCATGTTCGTTCCGTTATTCGCATAGAAAATCTTTGATGGAGAAGTTCAATGGTGTTCCGATCAGCGATTAGCTTTTCATGTCCCGAATAGACGTGGCGATCTTACTGAGAGCTGATCTTCGTGAGTGTGCCCCCAGAAGATATCTGACGGAGAAACGTTGCATTAAGACGACTCTCCGCTAGTTTCCTGTAATGGCGGACGTACTTGCGATAACATGAGGAGAGAACCGATCGACGCTGTGAAAGCCGCACGTTCAATACTAAAACATACATGGCCTTCTTGCTTTATTTTGTCACTCACATTTGATAGACTAGACAAAAAGTAAGATAAGTAAATTGAATAGACCGGAATTAATGATGACTTACATAGATTCGTCGGATTCTCAAGCGCATTTGAACCGTCCCAACCGCTCAATACGTGGCCCAGAATCCAAACTGATGATGGAAGTCCGTCAAAACGTATGTCTGACAACAGAATTATCATTTAAAACTAACCTCGATCTCCTGCATCCTCGGCATCCTGCAACTCATCCGTAAGGAACCGCAACATGCCTGATACATCTGGCGTTGTGAGATTGATGAAGTTGAACCAGTTGTCACTGTCGTTAAATCAGGAACCTCAGCTCTTCCGCAAGCAACCAAGGAAAGGTAAGGAAAAATGCGTACCGATACCAGAAATCCGTGTTTAGTGTTATAACCCGGAGTCCATCCGTCCGGCGTACCATATATGCTCCATAATGCGCGCGTGCAAGTGCTGCGGACGATTCGGGAATCCAGTTCTCAAATTCCCAGAGGCCAGCGACGTGATCGTAGTTCCTGAAGTGTCTGCGTAAGTCGCTGCCGTTAAGGAAATTACAGAGAATATGTTTCACGTGCCAGCTGAATTGCTGAGCAAGCTCTCCACCAAGCGAATGCGGGGCATCTTGAGCCCTGAAGTATGCATTAATTGACAAGACTGGGTCATAGATAGAGCTGTAGGACTTCTCCATTATGAGTATCATGATTTCCTAAAGAGGCGTATACAGGCCCGGATCCGAGCATACGTTTGAACAGATCGTATATAACGGTCTACAAAATGCAGAAAAAGTAAAGTCTGTCTCGAACAGTGTCAGGATTCCTTCAGAGCAGAGAGTGTAACGTACCTCGGTATATTCGACATAGGCTCTTGAGAGTTCATTGGCCGGGTCATGCGAGACAAGGTCACCCGTATAAATAGTGTACGCGAAGCCTGTATCTTGTGTCCCTGCCAGAACAGGGATGGATTGCAGCGCAGCAAGAGCGAGTGCATACGGTACATCACTAATAATTCCAAGCACACGTTAGCCCAGTATTCGCCACTTGTAGAAAATTGCGTACCATTGGTATGAACCGTAACGAGGGGCGGGGAAAAGTGTCTCATTTGGACTGGAGGACGCTACGTTCCCTTCTCTGCAACAGAGATTGCGTGTACAATTTGCTTCTGCACCAGTTGTGTAACCTAGATAGATAGATATTTGTAATTAAGAGATGGCTAACTATGAAGAAAAGCAACGTACGCGGGTCAATGTGAAAGTCAGATAAATGAAGGACCTTCAATCGCTTCCCACTTGGCTTCTTGGGCGCAGGAAGTGGATTTGGCTTCGGCTTCGCAAACCAACCGGTCAAATTCAGCGCAGAAGTTGGCGGTAGAGGACATAGGCCCAAGAAATTCTGGCAAATAAGTTGGCCATCATATCCTGCAACATCCGCATTCGCCAAAACCTGCACCACAACGTTTCCACGAGAAAGCGGGCCATATTCCGCTTCACAGTCCACTGGTGTAGACGCTAGACCTCTGAGCATATTACAAATCTCTAACACGATCGTTGGACCTTTTTCTGGAGCAGCCAATGCCACGAATTTAGCAATGGTCAGAATAGTCTGACATGCGGCACAAGAATCATTCAAGAAAGGCGAGTTCGGCGTTTCCGGAGAAGCGATTAACTGAATTTGTCGGAGCGCTTGCTGCAGGATGGTCGAAGAAGACGCTTGCGGCGGGAGTGGGTGCGGATCACCCGAATCGTTCTATCCGAGTCTTCAGTGTTTATGGAAGACATACAGTTGAGTAATACGTACTTGAGGGATTGTATGAGGATCCGTCAATCCAAACGGATAAGTTTCATGCTAGAAATAGTATTAGGAAGGTGCCGCTTGAAATTACATCTCGTCATTGAAGTCTAATAAAGAGAGCTCACCGTAACTGGATCGGAGATAACTGGTTGGACTTGCTCGCTCGTCTGAGTGGGGTCATTGTAGTATTGCTTGTAGACCGAGGTTGGAAAGACACCAGGAGCAGCAAAAGAGGAAGGACCGAGCGTGATCTGCTGGGCACCCGTATACAGAGCAGACAGCAAGACAACAAGATAGGTAAGCTTCTGCATTTTCTTGGCTAGTCGATTTTGGGGCGTCCACCCGCCTTCAGGCCGACAGAGAGCAAGTTTCAAGCAGCAATTCAACTTATATCATTCGGAACAGGTGACATCCCGCATGTTGAATTTACTGAGAAGACCGTTCTCGGATATCACTTGCCTAGCACGGCCGCAAAAATAGATCCACGACTGCACGTTTTGGTGATTAGAAGTCGGTTGATTTCCTTCAATTTCATTTCACTTGCTCGGAGGTAAGCAGCGGGAACGAACGTGCGCAACTGGTAATCAGTACCTACCTCGTGCTACGAGAGCCATAAGGTCAGATAATGAAAGCGGGCCGAGATTATATTTGTCGGAGCTAGAAGCGGCGTTTGTCTGTATTTGTCATCCACTGATTCCTAGGACTCAGAAATATAATATTTGTATCCCAGAACGAGGATGGGAGGATGGACGTGAGCAGCGGCGGGTGCAATAACGCTGAAAGTAGCATGTTGAGGATCCAAGAGTCTGTATAGTATGTTATATAATGTAATCGTGAGAACATTTACATATTTGAGGCTTACCACCAAACGGTGACCAAACAATAGATTTCGTTGTATCGTTATGTTACTCTCAAACTCAAAGTCATTTGAGTAACTTCATATCTCGGCGTAATTAAAGGTGTTATTGCGCTCCTCTTTCGCTACAATAACCGCAAGACGGGTTATGGGCGATATTCGCGATTCATCTCTTTGAGGTCTTCGTAAGGACTTATAATCAAGCGACAATGCAGGAGCAAGAAATAAACTCCCAAGAGCTGTTTCTGGAAGTCAGTTTGTTTCTCTGATTCACCATTCATAAGGCTAATATCCATGTTTCCAGCTAAAAGGCATATGTGTCCCTTTGCTTTCGCATTCGCGTCTCGCGGCTGGAAAAATCCCCGAGGTCTTGGAACTTCTATCCGCTCTGTCAGAACGCCTTCAGAAACTACATCACGATCAGGTTTGGCTCAAGCCTGCGCTTCTATCATATGCATTCTTCCCTCTGCAAACTATTCTCGGCCGTAATGATAGTTCTAAAGTTCCAGATCAAGTACTGGAAAAGATCTTTGAGGTATTCGAGCTCCTGTTCCGTTGGTGGTGGTGGACATGCGAGGAGAGCATCTGGGAGCAACTACTCATGCTTTGTGGATCCATCCTAGGGGGATTGGATGTCAAAGGAAAGAGGAAGGAGAGAGACGATGAGACGAAAGATGCGGTTGTCAGACTTATCTTATGTCTCTTGAAAGACCGGTCATCGGACGTAACAGACACTGGAAGCCCTGACGACATTCGAAATGTTCCTAACGCAGAAACGCGGCTGTACGATTTTCAGACACACGCGCGGACGGGTAAACTTGTACCAGTTCTTGGACAGATGTTGAACGCACTGCTCGACACTGCAATATCTCGGCATTTACCCCTCCAGTTACACTCTATTGAGGCTCTTCAAATTATAATATCGATATACGTTCCAAATAATGTCGTCCCATCCATACTTCCTGGAGTCATAAGTTCCGCAACTCGTATTGCTCTGGGAAGGACGAACAGTATGGTAAATGGCAAGGGCTGGGTCAATGGTGCCGTAGTCTCGGCAGCTCTCCGTCTTATGGATGTATCGATCGTTCGTGCTATCGGTGATGAACCGTGCATGGCCGCTGGGGTAGTCAAAGAGTTCAATGGGCTTGAAGACCTCACGGAACTCGTGAGCGGAGGTGCAATGGAAGGTTCAATATCGCAACCCAACACGTCTTCCGAAAAGCCTTATGAAACGACACGTTCAGCGTCTTGGTTGCATGCAACTTCGTCCCAATTGCTGATGGCATTGAACTCATTAACACCTTTGGTCTCTCATCCAACTCCTGCTGCACTATCAGCACTCGCGTCTATTTCCCAATCCCTTCTGTCCAAAGCCCGACTCACTCTGCCAGAGAGTCGTCCTCTCCTCCTCTCATTCCTCCTTTCACTCTCCCACTCACGCTGTCCCTCCGTTTCTGGAAATGCTATCCGTGCTCTATCCGTGCTTCTGAGTCCTTCAGAGAAAGGCAGTCATGTACTTCTCCAAACGCTATTGCAGCTTACTGCAGACAATCTTTCTGCACTTCCACTTCTCCTTCCGACTCAAGCAGATGCACGGATAATTCACGTTGCAGGTCAGATCGAGGCCGCATGTCGTCTTAGTCCTGCTGGCGCCGGTGTTGGACGACTGTTGGGACCGACTGGTCATATAGAAAAGTGGGGGTGGCGTCTACTCTCCGTGCTTGATTTTGCACCCCCTCCTGCAACAATCATCGGATCCGGAGCAATAGGCCTGCTTGAGGGCAGCTCAGATGAACGGATTGTGTTTCCTATGGCAACGTTGACTAATGTCGCGACACGCGAAACCCATGTCTCGCTGGAACGAATGCTACGTGCTCTTGGTTCTGCAGGCGGCGAAACCTGTTTGTTTGCTGTTGAATGGTTTATACGCGTCGGGACCGCCGGTCAGGGCGATGGAAGTAATGTAGCTGCTTTTTGGTGTGCATCTAGAATACTAGAAGGCATAGTTGGCATCTCATTGGACGAAGACGACGAGGCTGTCCCCAACTCTACGCAAAGGGTACTGCAACACCGTAGAGTCGAGAAGTTCGCTCGTTGGCTGACGAAAATTGTCTCTGAACTGTGGGACAAAGACGAGGAAGAACCAGAGCCCGGAAACGAGCAAAAAAATGCGACGGGATTAGATGCGGACGAGGATCGACCAGTCATTGAATTTGTGAAAGGCCTTGAACCCCTTCAAACGCGGTTTGATCTCCGGTCCTCATCGAATAAATCTGCTACTCGGAGATCGCAACCCATACTCCACAAATCGTTTGCCCTTCAACTTATGGCTGTCTCTGCTTCTATCCTTCACTCACGGTTCTCTACTCTCCTCATACATGCTCTTTACCCAATCCTTCACTCCCTGGTTCAACCATCTGCATATCTTGCCGGTACAGCGCAAGCAACTCTGCAATACGCGACTCGTGCCGTCGGAAGCGCTACTCCAGGCAATTTACTGCTCTCAAATTTTGACTATGCGTTAGACTCGGTTTCGCGCCGGCTGACTCGACGTCATTTGGACATAGATGCAGCTCGTGTCCTCGTCGTCCTTATTCGCCTCATTGGGCGGGATGTCGTTCAACGCGCGAGCGATGTCGTCGAAGAGTGCTTTGACCGCTTAGACGACTTCCACGGCTATGCTATTGTTGTTGAAGGTCTTGTTGAGGCACTTCAGGAGGTTGTCAAGGTCATAGAGGGAGAAGAGCTCCCTCAGCATAATGAAGACTCGAAACCGGTTGAGCATGGGAATGTGTCAGATGCAGAGCATTTTGACAGGTTCCTCAAGTGGATCGAACATCGTAATGACCCGCCAGAGCAAGTTGAAGGAGAGGATATTGGGCCAGTCCCCAAAGGACCGCTGGGTAAAGGCAAAACGAAGGAAATGACAGCAGAAGAGGAAGAGGAAGAGAAACGATTATTGAACGAACCAAGCGCCCTCGACGAGCCTCCACCAACACCAACTCAAACACTCACCTCCCAGATCGTCTCACGTTCCATTACTCTTTTGACTCACGGTTCGTCTTCCATTCGTACTCGTATTCTTACCCTCCTGGCTAGTGCAGCGCCAGTGCTCCCTGCTTCATCGCTTCTTCCGGCTGTACATCGCGCATGGCCGTTCGTCATAAACCGTCTAAGCGAACCAGAGACATCCGTAGCCGCTGCGGCTGCTTCTTTCGTTGCTGCCCTCGCTCATGCACATGGCTCATTCATGACACAGCGCATTTGGGATGATGTTTGGCCTCTATTCCATCGGACTCTGAAACGACTCGACGCTGCAGACGAGCAAAGTGCTCTCGCGCGTCGAACTGCAAACGTCGGTGTTATTGGGACGCAGTCAGCGTATACACATTCGCATCGACTATACCGGGCAATGATCGGTTCTATGACAGCTGCTGTACGCGGTGGGATACAAGTACAGGATCAACGTGCGTGGGACGTCCTCCTTGCATTCCGTCGATTTCTGTCAAAGAGTGCGCACGAGGAACTGCAAACCGCAGCGCGAGAGTTATACATTGCATTTGGAGAGAATAACGAGGATACCGTTTGGCTCGTGCTCACTTCGACCGCAGCGACGCCTGATGTCCCGCACCTTGGGCACTTAGCTCAGACGAAATGGGATACTCAGAGTAACGTAGATATTATCTTCTTAGTATTGGAGAGCAGGTAACAAGAGAGGTATAGTATGTAAACGTCAAATTCTATGTAGCATAGAGTTGTTTCACCGCGTTTCATTTTTATTATTAATGCTGCTCTGTTGCTCGAACGTTATTACCTTACCCCTGGTATTAGTAAGCCTCGGGTCTCTGTCAATACTTGCAAGTAAGCATCAAATGCTTCCTGTTCATCACCCCAAATCTGGTCATGTCGCATGAGATATTCCTGCTCTTCAGTTCATTGCCTTTTGACCTTTCTTGGTTCTGGGCATTTATCTGAATTCTTTGAGTAACGTGTCTGTTGTATTTGATGTCCACTCGAGTATTGCTTTGCTATAGCAGGAGGTTGATTCTGTACAACACAAAGGTGAAGCAAAAGAATATAACTTGGTAGAAACTGAGACTGTTTCACAACAGTTTACTATATCTATTCAGTGGGAATGCTCTATACTAGTACAGACTACTAAAGAAGTACTAGTGTGTCTAAGCAATGTACTTTTCTCCGTTCTACTACTTTTGTCAACCGAACTACTTTTGTCAACCAAGGCTAATCTGTTTGTTTCACTGGACGAGCCATCTCCTCCTGACAGTCACCGCTGATTTGTTCAAAAAAGCTGTGAACAGCTTCTGGATCATTTTTGTCAATCTGCTTGAACTCCCCTTCCCGGGTTCTCCATTTTGCCATGTCAGTCTGTGCTTGTGTATATTGAGGTGCTCCTTCCTGGTAATTGTTCATTCTCCATGATGTAGTCCGCTTTCCGGTTGTAATGATGTTTTCGACATCTTCCCTCTTTGCTTTACGCTGTGTGCTCTTCTGTTGGTCTCGACTCGCCATATTTGCAGAAAATGTGGGGAGTTGTATTCAAGGAAAAGAGGACAGGCATAGTAACCCTCTGTTATAAAACACAACTTTGCACAAGTTCACTGTCAAGTTGCAGCGAATCTCAGTAGATAGAATATTCTAGCTACAGTCCTCACAAGAATGCATATTTATTTTGCATGGGTATGGTCCTGGAATGTCAATACAATCTGTTGTTTTGCTCTATCCTACATTGTACATGTAACCTTATTGCAAAAGGTGATACATAAGTACAGGTACTGACATTAATACTATCCCAGATATTCATGTGCATTATTGCACTATTAGTATTAGTATGCATGTGTAAAGCAGCAATCTCAATTTCAATTACAAATGCTCAAATTGACAAAGTCTTCTGGTCTGCTTTTTTTAATCAGACCTAGTATATAAGTTACATTACAATATACTTTGCATAATTGTATTGTTTACAATAATATACATTGCTTTCATTTCATTGAACAGAGACCTGAAACTTGGATTCAAGTTTGTAAAACTGCAAATGTAGATATTCATCATTAGGAGTCTAGCAGGTGGATCAATATACAAAATAACAAGATTTGTGAGGTGGCAAACAGGGACAAACTTGCATAGGGCAAAGAAGAGAACTAAACAAATGACTGTTCCATGTTCTGCCAACTATTGTCAACCAAAGATAATATGTATGTTGTACTGAACAAAACACCTTGTTATAGCAACCACTAAGAATCTGTGTAAAAAAGCTCTGAACAACTTCTGGCTCATTTTTATCAATCTACTACTTGAACTTGTCTTTCCAATTTTGTCATTTCTCCATATTAGAGCTTGCTTGCTTGTACTCATCAGACCCTTCTTTGTATTCTCTTGATCTAGTAGATGCAGCTTCTTTGCTAGCTGTAATGATTCTTTTAATGTCTTCCTTATTTGCTTTATATTGTATGTCCTACTACTAGTCTTGACTCACTATGTTTGTACAGAAAATGTGTATAGTTTCTCCTGGGTAAGATGGCAAAGCAACTGTCTGTTGTCAAGTACAACTTGTACAAGTTGAGAAAAGGCTTGAGGGATAGAAAATAGAAGTTTTACATTACAGTTCTTACAAGAATGCTTGTTAACTTTGTATAAATGTCTTCCTAGAATATTAATCTGTTGTATTATTTACTGTCTACTAGTAAAGACTTGCAAACTTCATTGTATAGAGTAGTGTATAACATTTCTGCTTGCTTGGATACTACTCCAGATATCAATTGCTGCTATTACACTACAGGGATTTTGGTACATATGTGTAAAGCAGAAATAGTATTGTTAGGAATTGTAAAATACAGTAACTAAGTTTGGAAAAGCTTAACTCAAGACTTGGGACTGAGTAGTTTATATACAAAACCCTATTGGTCACAAGTCTAGAGATTGGCTAGATCAACTAGGCTACCTTTGTTGTCCTACTTAGTAA